TAACAGGTAATTTAAGGATCTCTATCAAACTTTTGGTTTGATTTGTCAAATTTGATTTAAACTTTAATATTGATACGGATTAGTTAGATATAAAAATCTTGAATGTGATATTTAATATTTAATTTTTATTGCATCAATTAATTTTTCTATTAAACTGATTTTTTTTGCATTAGTAAAAAATAATTTTTATTATTGTAATTTGGATTTTTCTTTTAAAAAAAATCTTCAATTTGATATCTGAATTTTTTTTTAAAAACGAGATTTGAAATGAAAAATAGATTTTATTGCATTGATTTTTTTTTTTAAAACGAATTTTAGTTATTTTTCTATAATTATTTTGCAAATTGGTTTCCCAAAATAAGAATAAGATACAAGTTGGTTCCCCAAAATAGCGATTTTAAAAGTTGGTTCCCCAAAATATAAATCAGTTGAAAGTTGGTTCTATTTTAATGCAATTTTTCCATTTACATATATGAAAACTTGTAAATTTGAATGATTATTTAAAGCTTGCAGATAACACGTCATGTTCAAAAAATTTAATTGGAAGGAACAAATTGCAAACATTCAGATGTTCAAACAAAAAGTTAAAGTTAAAATGTTTGATATTTAATAAATCAAAAATACAAAAATTAATAAATAATTAAATAATTTGGTACCATGGTACTACCTTGGTACTGAACTTTCAATGTGCCAACCAAGTTTTTGTACCTGGTACAGTACTACCAACCGATTAAATATTACTGTGATACGGGAGTTTCAAACTCGAATATTAATATAATATTTAAAATCGAGCTTAAGCATGATTACGGGAAAAAAAAATATTCGAGCTTGAGTTGAGTATTGGTTCTTCAAGTTGAGGCTAAATTTAAAGCGATGATTTTAAATTTAAGTTTAGATCATTGGCATGAAAACGCAACGTATTTTGTTCTGATTCTTATTTTTTATAACGTATTTTAAAAATCTTTATTTTGGTATATCAGATATGATATCTCAAACATTTAGACCAAATTACGTTACACTAAGAGGATGTTTGGCAGTTGCTGAATGGTTTGTTGGTGAATGATTAAGTGGTCAGAATGATTAGGAAACTCTCATGATATAGTGAAAAATGAAATATAATTGTTTGGTAATTATTTACAATGAAATTAGAGCCGATGAATGGACAAGGGAGGCTCATGATACAAAATTATTTAGAGGGTTTTAGAATCATTAAAAGACATTTTTTTTGTCAAACAAGATTCACCTATTAACGATTCAGATGTTACGTCTTAATTGAATATTAAGAGGTAAACAAACAACCCCTAAATAGAAATCAATATAGACAAAAGCACTTTGCATGAGATTTTCTCATATATAAATTATGTATCTAAATATTTTAGGGGGGTTCATTCAATAGAGAACTGACTAGTTTGTGATAACTATGAGATCCAATCTCAACCACAAATCAATCGATAAATTAGGAAACTAATATTTTTGGTAATTTAACTTAAATTTCTAATTAAAGGGCATTTTAGGTATTTAATTTTTTTTATCTCTTTCATCTGTCTCTCTCTTCTGCTTCCGGCCTCTAGTAAACCTTATTTCGAAAAACACCATGTGATACCCAAAATATACCAAGATATACAATGTAATACCCAAAATACATACAATGTGATATTCAAAACACACCAAGTAAACTTTGAGACCGTTATGATACCAACTGTGGTACCATTGTGATATCAACTGTAGTATCCCTATGATAGCTATGTGGAGAGTCATTCAAGGGATAATTAGATACTAATGTGATACACATCATGATCAATGTGATACCTAAAATAAAGTAATTAATCTAATTAAATGAAATTGGAATATTAAGCTAATTAAAGTAAATTGAATAATCAATCCAAATTACTAATTTACCCTTCTATTTTATTTTAAGAAAAATATTAATTATCTTAAATGATTGGCTCACGTTGGATCTCACGGTTATCACAAACTAATTAGTTCTCATTTGATCAGGCCTCATGTTTTAGATGTCACATCTAACGTTATCAAAATACATTATCCAATATAAAATCGAACCGAAAAATACACTTTGCATTTTAATGCAGTTTAACTTTAAAATAATCAACATAAAACAAACCAATAAGAACAATAATTACAAAGTAATTTTTAAATAAACATCCAATGTTCGATTTTACGCATTATTGTTATCCGTTCAACTAACAACCAAATGTTTTATGTACCAGTTTTATTCGTTTTCTTTCGTTTACGTCTTTATTTCTTTGTCGTGAATCCATCTTGATGAAGACACTCCTTTGGTACACATTCACCATTTCGTTTACGTTTGTATGTTTGCTTTTGTTTAAATTTGTTGCACTACTATATTATCAGTTTGGTCGTTTTCAAATCTGATGATAACAGCTTGCCTACAGCAAAACATGATAAACTCCCCAAAGATACCAAAATAAAGAATAGAGCCAAGCATTCCATATGGCTCCACGTCAAGATTCCTTTGATAAGTTAAGATCAAACGACCCCAGTAGATCTCACATAAACATATAACCTAAAGACAGGTTGTATATAGACATATTCTTTACAGGTTTAAAATGGAGTAAGGTGTGTGTTTTGGTAGTGAGGTCAAACTTGTTAGAGTACCACATCGGCTAGACTTGAACCATTTATCTTGTATATATGTTGGAACCTCTCCTTTCTTTAAGGGATCTTTTGGAGAGTCATATGGGGATTCCACATAAGGACTCGACATTCTAGCTAGCCCCTTCTTGACACCCTGGGACAATTTGTGTCCATCTAGCCTCCGTTGGAGAACGCGTGCTAGAGTTCTATAGCAGCTAGACTTGGGTTAGTTCTCTTTATATATGTTGGAACCTCCTCTTTCTCATCAAGGGCTATGACGTTTTTCAAGGCATAACTTACAATGGCAAAATCTCTATCAATCTCTCTCTCCCCCTCTCTCTCTCTATACACACACACACACACACACACACACATATATATATATATATATATATATATATATATATCGAGAGAGATTATTGTCGTAGTGAAGATATGTTAAGATTGTTGAGCTGTGAGTTAATGATTGAATAACATTAAAAACTTATAAAAAACCCTGATGGAAACCTCATTTTCAGGTTTTTTACTTTTAAAAACATTCATAGTGGTGGGAACTTTAAAAAAACACATTTTGAATACTCTTAAGAGGATATTTAATTCGCAGATTCTGAAGCAATTTGATGAAATTTAAATGTTGAATTCTATTGATCAAATTTCATTCATTTGTTTGGTTCATTTTTTTTCCATGAAATGAATCCAAATTTTGTTCATTTGGATTGATGATTGGTTCTAAAAATTACAATATTTAAATTGAAAATTTGATAATTGATTTATAAATTATAATAAAAAAATAAAGTTAATTCAATTTTAATCCAATTTATTTTATTATAACTATTTAATATTTTTGGGTACAAAAAAAATAAAAATTAAATGGTATTTAGCCCACTAATATGAAGCCCATTTACCCCATAGCTCCACAATCCATTCATGACATATTTTTCTAGAATAAAAGTTAAATTATTAGTTTTCCTCTAATTTTTATATATAAATATAAATAATATAACTTTTTTAAAAGGAATTTTTTTATTTATAAAAACATCCAAAACAAACAAAGAAAAATAACCCAAAACAACACAAAGAAAAAAAAAACGAAACCTAAACAACGTGAGCGTAATTGAGAACACGACCAAAAGAAACCATCACAAAAATAAAACGAAGAACGCTAAAACGAAATTCAGTCGATACCCGTACATGGAATAGGAGGAGGAGTTAACCATCGATACATTGGTCCCTGCACCAATCCGACCAAGAGAGTCTGAAATCTTTAGCACGCTTTGAAAACCCAATTGAACGAGAGAAGTTATGGTTGAAAAAGTGATTGATTTGTCGATTGTTGACCACTTTAAAAGTCTGATTGTTCTATTGAACCCAAATCGTGTAAAGAGTATACCAAACCACCGCCTTCCAATATATCCTAATGGGGTTTCGAGTCACGATAGTGTTTGTACATGCAATAAGATCATCTAGATAGATACATGGCGAAATGCTCCTACCAACTCTTTGGCACCTGACGAAACAATGTTCGAGACATTCAATAGCTTATCACAACATGGGTAAAGAATGTAATCAAGATCAAAAGTACCAGGAGGTCACATGTTCAAATCGAAGGAGGAATAAAAATCTTCTTGTGGCCACACAGGTTCAAATGCGGTGACTCCAAGCTATCTGCAAAACATGTGGTCGCCCTCGGATTAGTCGACTAGCATAGCGGATTGGACATCCAGATTAATAATAAAAAAAGTCATCATCCTCACTCAACCACCAAACCTGCTTGTGCCTCTCATGAACCCCCATCGGGGCTTTATGAACCATGGAATCCAACTCTCCCACATCACCACCCATCCTTCCCTCCCGAGAACCACCCCAAGCATCACCACATCTAGTCATACAATTTTGGTCTAAAACCCCTTTTTCCCTTTTCAACCTTTCGCGTAGCCTGTAATTATGCAACCGTTTATCATAAACAATTGTATTACGTAACTTACAAGTCTTATGTTACACGTTCTAAAAGATGTATATGAAAACGAAATAAAGCGTATACGCAACATATTTGAATCAAAATCATACAACAAACGAATAAAAACAATCACACATAAAAACCTAAACTATGAATCTAACAAATATCTTGAATATCCCAATATTATTTTTCTTTACACAAAATGAACCTCAACTAGTCCAATTGGGGGCAAAATAGTAATTTCACATCAAGAAAACCCAAAGATCAACGTGTCAAAAAGATGAGGTTTCTGTAACGTGTGGTCATCACACATCCCTTTTTTTCATTTCTTCCTTCTTTGTTACTAAATCTTGTAGATATTTTCATTCTCAAAATTTTGTAAGAAAATCAAGACTCCATAAAACCCCAAATCCACCGCACAAAAATTGGAACCTTTCCTTTTTACAATATTTTAAAGAATATTTTCAAGATTTTTTAGGTAACCAAGAATGGCCGCGGTGGCCCAATTTCACATGTTTCCGGCGAACCCCCACCATAAAACCACCCAATCGCCGGTTACCCAACTGGGTTTCTGCCGGAGCTCGGTCTTGTGGGAACCGATCCCACCGTTTTCTGGCCGGAAAGTGTGTTTGCAGCCGTGTAGGTCGTTTAGGAGTGAGGAAGGGAAAAATGGAGGTGGAAAAGAAAAGGGAAATACACGAAGAAATGTATTGGGAGCTATCAAGTCTTTGATCTTGTCGAATGATAATTCGATGGAAAAATTGGAAGAGAAATTATCAAGGGTTAGTTCTTCAAATTCCCACAAATCTTTGATCATAAAACTTTGAAAATTTATGCTTTTATTGTTGTATATTTGTAATTTATGCTTTTATTGTTCCTACAAAATGATAATTTTGAAAGTTGGTTCCCAAAAATAAAAATCAGGTGAAAGTTGGTTCCATTTTGATGCAATTTTTCCTTTGTAATTTATGCTTAAAACCCAAGTTTTATAATTAGATATCTTGTTGAAATATTGAGGTCAATTTGGTTTGGTAGATTTGGTAGGAATTGGAATTGGAATTGGAATTGGAATTGGAATTGGAATTGGATTGGGATTTGGAATTGAATTCCATTCCAATCCTATGTTCGGTTTGAACCACGAGGTTGGTATTCTATGGATTTCATAGGATTTATATAGACATTTATTTTGTAATAATTAATTAATAAAAAGATAATTTAATTATTTTTATAATTTATTTTTATAAATTATTAAAAAAAAGGGGAATTCAATTTCATTCCAAATCTTACAAACCAAACACATCCGAAGATTCAAAATACTCCAAATCCAAATCCAAGTCCATCAAGAAACTAGTTTGGTTTTCATCAAACCGAACGTTCCCTAAGGGAAGTCCGGAATGGAACAAGGATTTGGAATTGAATTCCATTCCAGTTATGGTTTAAAGGGAAGTCCGGAATTGAAATCTCTAACGAAATCCCACGAACATTGGATTTCCAATGTCATGGGATAGTTGGCATTTTATATGATTTATTTTTAAAAATGTTTAACATTTGATTTTTATTAATGTAATTATTTTTATTATTATATATAATTTGTTTTTTTTTAATAAACTATCTATACGTAATATTACACGCAAATATTACTAAATCCCGTGAAATACCGACAACCCCCATTGGATTTCTAAATCCTATGTTTATGGGATTTCAACTCCAAGCAATCTTTCAAACCAAGCATGGGATCGGAATGGAATTGAATTCCAAATTCCTACGAATCCTATCCAATCCTATAAATCAAGCAGGATTTAGTAATGTTCTAAAATACGTTGAAAACATTTGTTTTATAATAATCAATTAATAAAAAAGTAATTTAATTATTTTTATATCATTTCTATGAATTATTTATAAAAAATGGAATTCAATTCCATTCCACATCAGATATCGCAAATCCTTCCATGAAATCCAGATCCCTCGAAACCGTTCTATACGCTTATGATTAGATTAACGTGATATAATGTTGTTCCTTAATTACCCTTTCTGATAATGTCGTAGATTGCTCTTCATTTTGGGAGATATATTGTGACGATGATGAGCACCGGAGTGATTTTGTCAATTGGATTCAATTTATCGGGTTAGCTAATTACCGTCTCTTCGTTTGATAAGGATTATGCAAAATCAGATGATTTTTATTCAGAAATATTGACGTCAAATCGTTGAATGAAGGTGGAGATGGTCAAATGAACGATTTAATTTGGTATAGTTGGGTTGGAGGCATTATCATTGGAACTATGATCGGTTCAAATATGGTCTTGGATGAAGTTAGTCGAGCCGGTCCTCGTAATGTTGTCATAACCGGAAGGTACCCATCTCTCGTTATGCTCTAAATTGATGAAATTTTTAGTTCTGTGGTCGTATTATGCTAAAAAGAAAGTGATGTAGGTTTAAAAAACGACACTTTTTTGCGAAATAGCGGTGTAGTAATGTTAATGTCCACGCGGCATCATTTGGTCGCTACAACAAGTCAACATGATCGGTTTTATAGGACGCCAAATATGTCTAAATGTCTTAATAAACTACTTTATAAGAAAATTTGTAAAAGTAGGTTGTTATTTCACGCATTTCCCATGTGTAACAGGTTATCCTATGTGGTTTCCATGTCATTTTAAGTTTGACACGTCATCGAAGAAAAACTTGTTCAAAAGGTAGCAGGTTACCCAATGCTATAACGGGCAATATTTTGAAAGTACGATGCCCTAATAGAAAATATTTTGAAAGTATATTGTTGTAATAAGAAAAAGTGAGAGTACAATGATATAATAAAGAAATTTGTAAAAGTAGGTTACTATTTCGTGCATTTTACCCTTTGAAAAAAATGTCCTATAAAAAGATGGGTTTATAGGTCAAAAGTGTCCTATAAAATAGCTAATGCGACATTTTCTGTTAAAATTGTCCTAAAAACTTGTTAAGACGTCCAAAAGTTTCCTATAAACTTATTACAACGCCTTTAGATATCATGCTTTATGTTTTGGTTCTATAAATTAAGTCTTACAAAGCTGTCTATTAGGACGCTTAGAAATTGGTGGCGTCCTATAAATCTAATTTTGTTGTAGTGTGTAAAAGTGTTGCAGGAAGTTGATAACGACGTTTATGGGGGTCCTAACAAGTTTTTTTAGTATATTTTTGAAATAAAACGTTCTATTCGCTTTTTTACAAGACACTTTTGAGAAGTGTCCTATGAACACATCTTTTTACGTAGGAACGATGGTCGGTTTGCGATAGAAAACTGGAAACAAGTTGTGATCAGATAATCTACACGTGATCCTTTCTACGGTATGCTCGTGCGATTCCACTTATTAACGGTTCGTAATTGCTTGGTTACAGTACTAGAGGGCTCGGAAAAGCACTTGCTCGTGAATTCCTACTTTCCGGAGATCGTGTAGTTATTGCTTCACGAAGGTAATATTCAAAGCCATGAAACCTTTTTCTATTTCCTACATAAATTAATCACATCAAACCAAACGAACCTAGTATATCCCACCTGGAGGTGGGCCCAGGAAGGGTAAGATGTATGCAGACTTGACCTCTACCCCTAACAGTATAGAGCGGTTCTTCCCATAAAACGTGAAAAGCGTGAGTAAGAGAGAACGTCGGTTTTGAAAAACTTTATCAACCGATGCTTGTATTTCCGTTTTGTTTTTGTCAGTGAAAAATCCGTAGATATGACGATTAAAGAACTTGAAGAAAACTTGCAAGAAGGTATGGCAACCGCAATGAGCTCGTCAAGGAAAAATTTGGTCAATGCGAAAGTAGTAGGCACTTCATGTGACGTATGTGATCCTGAAGATGTTCGGAATTTGGCGGACTTTGCCGTCAACGAACTCGGTTCCATTGACATTTGGGTGAGAAATTCATAATTAATTTAATATTAGAGCTTCGTGTTTAAGACGGTTCGGAAGTTTAAACCTACGTAACTTTCGTGATCGCTAATCCCGTTGTTTTACAGATAAACAATGCCGGGACTAACAAAGGTTTCAGACCGTTGTTGCAGTTTACCGACGAAGATATAAAACAGGTCCGTGTTTGCCTACGAGATTAGTTTCTAAAACAACTGTATTTGCTTCCGAGTTCTATATCTCGAGAACTTTTGAAAATTTTAGGATCATCGTTACAACAAAATTGGCCCTGTAGGACGTTAAATATGTCTAAATGTCTTAATAGACTGCTTTATAGGACCAAACAGTTTCAGTGTTTTATGAAAAAGTTTTCAAAATGTTCTATAAAAAACTAGAGTAAATTCTGATTTTCGTCCCTGTAGTTTGTTAATAATTCTGATTTTCGTCCCTGTGGTTTAGAAATTCCGATTTTTGTCCCAATGGTTTATAATTTATTGCTTTTTTCGTCCCTGGACTAAAAAAGTAAAGTATAAGGGACCAAAAAAGTAAAGAATTGTAAACCATAGGGACTGAAACAACATTTTGTAAATCATAAGGACAAAAATAGCAATGAATTACAAACTATACGGACAAAAACCGCAACTTCTGAACCTTGGGGATAAAACGCAGTTTTTAACAAACCATAGGGACAAAAATGTAACTTACTCAAAAAATTAAGGGGTCGTTTACCTAAACGAGTTAACATTGTAATTTATTTTACCGTGTAAGATTGTAGTACATCAAAATGATATCTTATGCAACAATTTATCCGGTAAGCGCTTACCCGGGTAAGAGTCATCACATTCACTTACCGAGTGAGACTCTTCATCTTTATCATTGCTCTTATCGGGTAAGATTTTTGACTCTTGCCATGTTTGGATAAACGTTAGTAAACGGCCCCTAAGAGTTTCAAAAGTGTCCTAAAAGATTTGAAAGTACGCCTAAAAGCATACTATCAACTTATTGCAACACTTTTGTGTACGTTACACAATCGTCTTGTCCTTTAAACTTAAGTCCTATGAAGCAGTCTATTATGACATTTAGACATATTTGGTGTCCCATAAAGCCGATTTTGTTTTGCAGGGCATTCTTGCCCTTTTCAGCACTCTTCATCGACGTTCTTCCTTAACGGGTTCATATACTGTTTCATCTTGCTTTAAACCAACTTCCTTTTTCCGGTTTTGAACAGATTGTGTCAACAAACTTGGTCGGGTCGATACTTTGCACCCGTGAAGCCATGCGTGTCATGAGCAACCAACATAAAGCAGGTCATATTTTTAACATGGACGGTGCTGGCTCCGGTGGATCAAGCACACCTTTGACAGCCGTGTAAGCTCTTTCTCTACTAGAGATCGTTTCTGTTGGAGTCCCACATCGGCTGACCATCTGTACTCGTCTAGCCCCCTCATCTGCCCCCTCGACACCGTGGGACAATCTGTGCCCATCTAACCTCCACTTTTGGGGGGGGAGACGTGTTCAGCTCTTTTGGAGAGTACTCTAATGGGGTTCTACATATTTGATATTTCTCACGTTCTTTTCTGACGACACTTGCTTTGTTTGATCTCCTTGTCGCTATTCCAGATACGGTTCGACAAAATGTGGTCTTAGACAACTTCAATCGTCATTATTCAAAGAGTGCCGAAAGTCCAAAGTCGGAGTTCATACGGCTTCTCCAGGCATGGTGCTAACGGATTTGCTCTTGAGGTACAAAAATCTCTTCGCGCTACGATAAAATCAGGTTTATAGAACGCCAAAAATGTCCAAATATCCTAGTAGAACACTATTAGGTTCGTTAAAAACTTGGCTTTCTGTATGAAACTCCCTCCTAGAAGCTTACTAAATAAGCCACTTTCTATATCATTAAGCCACTACCAAACAGTCGTGCATAGCTGATCGAATAAGCAATGAGTCCCATTAAGCTCATTAAGCTGCTAACATTAAGCTCATTAAGCTGCTAACAGACAACTTAAGTCTAGAAAGTAATCTATTAAGACATTTAGAAATTATTCACGTCCTGTGAACCCGATTTTGTTGTAGTATGGTGTCTTCGACTTGTTTTGATCCAAAAGGTTTTACTAAAAAGCGTCGTTTTTTGGGCAGTGGATCGACTATTCAGAATAAGCAGATGTTTAACATTATCTGCGAGTTACCCGAGACGGTTGCTAGAACATTGGTACCACGGATGAGGGTCGTAAAAGGAAGCGGAAAAGCGATTAATTACTTGACTCCTCCGAGAATTTTACTTGCTTTGGTCACCGCATGGTTAAGACGAGGCCGCTGGTTTGATGACAAGGTAAAATCATAGAAACTTCTAGAACTTCTTCGTTTGTTTCGTTTCACCTATTCTTTCTAACATCGAGCCCGAGCACTGCTCATCTGTCAATGAGATGCTTGCGCTGATTTACCAACCCCATGAAGACCATGGGACTGGTGCAGTGGGGATGCTCTGAACCTCTAAGGGCCTGTTTGGCAATTGCTGAATAGTTTGGTGCAGAATGATTAAGAGGCTCTCATGATATAGTGTAAAATGAAATATAATTGTTTGGTAATTGTGTACAATGAAATTAGGGCTCTTAATGGTTAAGAGAGTTCCAGGATACAAAATCATTCAGAGGGTTTTAGAACCATTAAGAGGCAGCCTTTTTTTTTGCCAAACAAGATTCACCTCTTAACGATTCAGATGTTGCCTCTTAATGAAACTATTAAGAAGGTTGAGATCTACCAGTAACCCAGATACTGCTATGCCAATGACTCGTTGGTTGAATCAAATGGGTTATAACTAGAGATCTTGTTAAAATCTCTTGTATTCTGCAGGGAAGAGCATTATATGCAGCAGAAGCGGATCGGCTAAGAAACTGGGCCGAAAGCCGGGCTCGTTTTTCTTTCACGGACGCCATGGAAATGTACACCGAAAACACTTGGGTGTCCGTCTTTTCGCTTTCTGTGGTTTGTGCGTTCATTATCCTCTCTAGCACCACCGGCAACGCTTCCGGGCACATAGACAACTTTCATCTTCTCTAAGTTCCAAATGTAATTACACAACATTATAAGATCACACGAGTGTTGCACGGGGATAACGGCAATCAGTCGGGTTTTTCCGTTAAAGAAATAGTTGGGTGTCTGTTCTTTTTCGTTCATCGATATCTTTGGATGGTTTGATCCGCAAGGCACTACTACAGACGGGTTAACAGTATCCGGTTAGAATAGCAGATATCCGTTAAGATGCTTATCGATTAAATGTGTATAGTTGTTAGATCCTCATTGCGAATTCGATGTCACATAAATTTATTGTTATTGTTGCTATTGATTCTAACTCATAACGGGTGTCTTATACTGGTATTTAAGATGTAAAGTTTTGAACATTTAGTTACCCGGGTAACTGGTGGAAGCATTAACCGGTTATTATACTGGTGTGACGAGCGATGTGGTATTCAACTCAGTATTATTTGCTGACGTGATCAGTGATATGATTTTTTTTAATCTAAAGTTAGTTTTCAACCAGTTACTCGAATACTTAAATGTTTAAAATTTTATATCTTAAACAACAAAATGAAAATTTTAAAAATACATTATATAAAATAGAAATGAAATTAAAGTAAATAAATAATTTTTTAATACAATTTATGTAAATGAAAATGTTAGGCGGGTATAAAGGAGGTAAACGGTGGACGAGACCTTGGTCCAACATTCTTGCCACTTGGCCGCCGCATGTCACGCCGCCACTCAATCATATGCCCATGTGAACTCTGGGGGCCACCACGCGCTTTACGGGGACCACATATAAAACAATCAACAAATTATAGGGTGCTAAATTGATAATTCAAAAACATTTAGGGACTAAACTGTAACCATTTAAAAAGCCAAATAGATCACAGCCGGTGGAATCCATTTTAGCCGGCTCATTGACGCCAGCTTATTCCTTAGCATTTCATGACTTTTTAACCCATTAAAATTCTAAAAATATAACCTTATATACTAATCAATTTATTTAATTATATTAAATTCTAGCTTTAGATGAAAAAATCACGTAAAACAATATATTACTATATCAATTCTTAGTTATCTATACTATATTATAAAGCATTTGACAAAAACTCTTAAAAATCATTTTTATGTCTGAAGTACTGTATATTAATGCATATTACTTAAAATTCAATATTACAATTAAATTATGCATAAATACAACTTATTAAAGCTCTATATTTGAATTCGCATAATTAACTGCAAATAAACATAACCAATTAGAGGATAATCAGCTCATTTTAAATTATAAAAAATCTAAAATTATTATTAGGATAATTATCGAGTTATAACAAAAAAAACTAATTATTATCTTTATAAGAAAATTATATTATTAAACCAAATATACATTACTTCGTTATTAAACCTAAATTAAATTATGATAAAAAAAATTGAATTAGAAAATTACACAAAAAATAAGAATTTTAAATAGTTAATTTAATATTAATATCGATATAATTTTGTCAAAATTTTATGATATTTTCAAATTTATATTTTATTCAAAAATAAAAACATTATCGTTTTTTCAAAATCACATAAGACCATACTATAACATCGATTGAGATAACGAATAGAATGAAATATTAAAATCAAGATATATCTCGCTGCATTGCATAAATACTCTTCTAGTTATAATATACGAGTTCTTAAATGATTAAGTCTCATTATTTATATACTTAAAATAAAGACATTTTATTATTTATTTTTTAAAAATCCATAACAATTTTATATTCATAAAAAACGTTATGGGTCTAATTAAAAATTAATTTAAATTATTATTTATTAAATAAAAATATATTTCTAAAATCCTAAAAATGGACCAACCAGGCTGCCTGCCAACGATGCCAAATGGTGCAACATCTTGCCTTCCAAAAGAAGCTATATATTATTATTATTCCAATTAAAAGTCGTCTTTTTTTGGAAAATAATTAACTTAAGATTTATAAAATAAATGATAAATCAAGAAAATACCATCTATTAATTAATAAATACGTTATTATTAAATAAAATACCAAATTTTAACTTTTAAAATAATATTATATTAATAATATTTACTAATTTAACTTTTATAAATTCATTGAATAAACGGATACGAAATTAATGGAGGCTTGCAATTGCATTGGAACGTTTCATGGATATAATTATTGCAAATTATGAAAATAATAAAAGAATATAAACTATCCATGTGGTTTATCAAAAATTACGTTTTTGGTTTCTGTAGTTTCGAAATTACAAGATGATGATTATGGTTTAGAAAAACGTTTCGATTTGGTCCCTTCTTTTAACGGTAGTTAATGAATTCCATTACACGAGGGATGTTTTCGTCTTATTATTGATTTTTTTGTCTTTTAACAATTCAAAAACAACAGGGACCAAAATCGTAAAATTGATTTTGATTGGGTAACCTTGTGTTCTTGAAAACTTTTTTTACTAAGGAAATGAAAGAAAAGAAGTAAGGGTGCGTTTGGTATATAAACATTAAACATGACATGATAGAATATAACAGTTGTTCAGCGTTTGGTAAGACATGACAGGACTTGACAGAACTAGTTAAAATGATCAATTTACCCCCAATGAGCTGTTTAATGTTTTTTCCACTAAATAATCAATATAAATGTTAACAAATACGGTGTGTAAAGTATAACTTATAATAGAATAATTATTTTTATAACAAAATATATCATTTGAAGTTTCGTCAAAACAATTAAAACGACACCAAATAAAAAGTTTATGTGGTTTTCTATTTTTATTTTTATCTCTTTTCTACATAATTATTAATATATAATAAATTACATAAATTTATAAAAATATAAAAACCGTATAAAAATAATATTTTGAGAACGATAAAATGAAAGTTTAAGAAACATAAAATACAATAAAATTTGAAGAATGAATAAAATATAAAAGAGAGACCTATTTGATGTTTTAAAAGAGAATTAAGTTTTATTTCAAGGTTATATTGGTAAAATATAAGTCTGTTTCACCTTATTCTATGGGATAGGGATGGAACAGGCATGTTCCACTCTGTTCTTGTCTGTTCCACATAAAATTCATGTCAAACATGGGATATGGATCTCTGTCATGTTCTGTTCCTATCCAGTGTACCAAACGCACCTTAGAAGAACTTGTGTTCATGAAAAGAAATAAATGAAAACCCTTTAAAAAATTTGTAAAAATTACAAAACTGTACAATTTTTTATCCTGAAAGATATATTTTTAAAGGTTATATTAGTAAAAATGACATTTAACGGGAAAAAAATAAAAAATATTGTTCATTTAACGAAAAGTTTTAACGACCGTGAGAAGGAGAGATCAAATCCAGATGTTATCTTGTAATTTTTAAACGACAAAAAGATGTTACTTTTGATAAACTACAGGGACCAGATTTGTAAAATTCTCTAAAAAAGTAAATAATAATAATCTAAAAAGCAAAAACCATGTGTGGGCTTTCTTTTGTACAACCTGGTTTGAATTCAAACCACTCCTCCATGTGGAACCAACCAATTCCTCTTTTTCTCATTAAAATTCTCCCAACAATCCTTTCCCACTGACAAAATTCCGCCGGAAAACCAACTTTCCGGCCACTTTTCTGCATGCATTGATGTGTTTTACTCACCACAAGCTTCAAGAAATCAAGAAAGTAGACTGACTCTTCTTTTTGATTCATTTTGATTATGTCTTCTCCGCCGCCGGGAGGTTCTCCGGCACCTACTACACCGGTTATACCACCACCCACTAACACCACTTCACCGCCACCTGCCGCCTCAGCTCCACCTCCGACCACCCCTGCTTCTCCCCCTCCACTAAATTCTTCTCCGCCAGCCCCTGTTACACCAGTTTCTTCTCCGCCACCGCCGCCGGACACTCCAGCTCCGTCGTCCTCTCCTCCGGCGCCACCTACATCCACCAACCCACCGCCTTCCACCACTTCCCCGGCACCACCTACTTCAAGAAACAGCCCGCCGTCTCCTGCGGGCCGATCTACGCCATCTCCACCGCCGCCAAGAAGTGCTTCCAACAATCCTCCGGCGTCGTCGTCATCGGACAATTCATCTGGGATTTCCACCGGAGTTGTGGTTGGGATCGCCGTTGCTGGGGTTTTGATACTTGCTGTTTTAACCATCTTGTTTCTTTGCTGTAAGAAAAAGAAAAAGAGAAGTCAAGTCCCCATCGGTTATTATGTCCCTCCACCACCACCGCCTAAAGGTTTGTTCTTGAATCTTGATTGCATAAATTCTTATCATTTTCTTCAAGATCTTGATCACATTCTCATCAATTTCATTCAAATCAAGAAAATTTTCAAGATTATATCTGTTCAATTATTATATCTTTTGATGTTGGGTGTGCACAGTTGGTCAACAATGGCAGCAAAATGCTCCACCGGCCACCGATCATCTTGTTACAATGCCGCCATTGAAACCCACTCCGCCACCTGCAATGGCGGCAGGACGACAACCACCATCACCAATTGGTGCTCCTTCACCTCAGCCACCACCTCCACCACCGTTTATGAGCAGTAGTGGTGGTTCAGGGTCGAATTACTCCGGGGGTTCGAACCCACTTCCACCGCCTTCTCCTGGAATGTCACTAGGTTTTTCAAAGAGTACATTCACATATGAAGAATTAGCCATGGCCACAGATGGATTTTCAGAAGCCAATCTTCTTGGCCAAGGTGGTTTCGGATATGTTCATAGAGGAGTGCTTCCGAATGGGAAAGAGGTGGCGGTTAAGCAGCTGAAAACCGGTAGTGGCCAAGGGGAGCGCGAGTTTCAGGCGGAGGTCGAGATCATTAGTCGGGTTCATCATAAACATCTCGTCTCATTGGTCGGGTATTGCATTTCGGGGGCTCAAAGATTGCTTGTTTATGAGTTTGTTCCAAATAACACAATGGAGTTCCACTTACATGGTGAGTTCTAGCATCATATGTTCTTTCCAATTTGGTACATTTGTAATGCTTATATCTCATAATCATCCTTTAGATAGATGCTTAATGAAACATCCGCTCAGCCCTTTGGGGGTAGAGGTCAGGTCTGCTTACATCCCATCCTTCCTAGACCCTGCTTTCGAGTGGGATATACTGGGCTTGGTTGGTTTAGATAGATGTTTAAATGAAATAGCCGCTCTACCATTTGGGGGTAGATGTAAGGTCAGCGTACATCTCACCCTCCCATACCTTCTTTGGAGTGGGCTCTACTTGGCTTGTTTGGTTTGATGCTTAATAATAATAGCCGCTCTCTCCTTTGAAAGTAGATGTCAGGTCTGCATACATCTCACTCCTTCTAGACCCTGCTTTCGAGTGTGATATACTGGGTTTGTTTGGTTTTGTTTAGATAGACGCTTAATGCTTCAATTACAAAATAAATTCAGGAAAGAACCGCCCCGTAATGGAGTTCCCCACAAGATTGCGTATTGCTCTTGGAGCGGCTAAAGGGTTAGCTTATCTCCACGAGGATTGTAAGTCCCTTTTGTTTTGTTTTTCCCGTGTCTTGATCCCTCCGTCCCAAGATAACTGTATACAATGAAAAAGACATTGTTTTAGAATTGTATAATTATTACACTTTTTAATTAACTAAATGACAATTGTACCCTTAACAACAAGGTGAGTAATGAATTTCTTCATCTCATTATTAAGGGTAGAATTGGAAAGTGGACACTTATTTCGGGACAAACTGGAGTAGAAATGTGGACACTTGTTATATAGTTCTTGGGCCCCTTTTCGTTTGCAGGCCATCCTAAGATCATTCATCGCGATATCAAAGCTGCTAATATTCTTCTTGATTTCAATTTTGAAGCGAAGGTAGCTTATTACATATCTTTATAGACGTTGAGCAGTTACCGCCATCTGTGTTCTCTTTAAAACTTGCGTTTACCGACCTCAATTAAATTAACAGGTTGCGGATTTTGGGCTTGCCAAGATTACTTCCGATGTCGCCACTCATGTTTCAACCCGAGTGATGGGAACTTTTGGGTAAATTTCCGTTCTTCCTTTCTAGCGTTTCAATAAGCTCAAGGGGCTTTTTTCTCATTTTTTTTTCCATTTATGCCCCGTATAGTTTTCTAACATGTTATTCAGGTCATTTTACATTGTCATATAACATATAACGCTGGTTTTTATCTAACAGGATTAGTTTATCAGCCAACAGTTAACTTTTCAGCTAACTAGTTTGCCAAACGTTGCCTAGATTTAGACATTTAGTTCCTTTTGAATTCCCTTTTCTCGTGTTTTTGACGTGAATTTGCCGTTTGTAGGTACTTAGCTCCAGAGTATGCTGCTTCGGGCAAACTCTCGGACAAATCAGACGTTTTCTCCTTTGGGGTCATGCTCTTGGAATTGATCACCGGACGCAGACCCGTGGATTCAGCCCAGACTTTTATGGATGATAGTTTAGTCGATTGGGTAAGTTATAACTTCTTTACGTATTCTCATCTCTCTTTTCTATAGCTGACCAAATAAGCTGCGAGTCCCATTAAGCTCTTGACAAACAGGCCCTAAATGTGTCTGAGATGTCATATCTGTGGTACCAAAACGAAGGTTTTGAAAGTATGTTATAGAAAATAGGAGTTAGGCCATGGCACATTGCATTTTCATGCAATTTGCCCGCGTGTTCATATGCAACCGGAAAACCTGTATGAAAATCATTACCGGAATCAAGACTTCTTTGACGGGGTCTGGTTGAGAATCATAGGCATTGTAGGGTTTATGAGCGTGTTTTTAGTCGAAAAATTTCGAACTTCTTTTATTGGGAACTTGTGGGTTCGGTGCGGTTGTACAAATGCTGACATAAATCAAACTACAGGCAAGGCCGTTGCTCACCCGAGCCATGGATGATGGAAACTTTGATGCCATTGCCGATTCACGTCTACAAAGAGACTACAACCACAGTGAGATGGCTCGTATGGTTTCTTGTGCGGCCGCCTGCGTCCGCCACTCGGCCCGCCGCCGGCCCAGGATGAGCCAGGTGGTCCGAGCGTTGGAAGGCGACGTGTCACTCTCTGATCTAACAGAAGGAATCCGAGCAGGACAGGGGTCGGCCTACGGGTCCCACGGAAGCTCAGACTACGACACGGCTCAGTACAACGAAGATATGGTGAAGTTCAGGAAAATGGCTTTAGGGACACAAGAGTATGCTAGCAGCGAATATAGCCGGCCCACGAGTGAATACGGGTTGTATCCATCTGGATCGAGTAGCGAAGGGCAGAATACCCGAGAAATGGAAATGAGAAAGTATCGAAGAGACGGGCGAGACGGATTTTGACGATAAAAATCGAGTGTTTCTTGATGATGATATTTTCTTGTATGTTAACACCAAAAATTGTTGGAATGGGCATGTTTTGTTGCAAGTTTGATTGTATTTATTTACATTTTGTTATATACAAACACAAATTCTTTTATTTTAAACAGTATTCTTGTGTTTTTTTAAGTATATAATATTTATATATGACGAATATTCGTACATCCTATTTATCTTTGATGATATTTTTACTTCTGAGATAACTGGTAGTTCAGGTATCATGGGGCCGATAACTAGGGTTTAGGGGTGCTAAAAAACCCGACCAATCAAACTCAACGCGAAATAACTCAACCCGAAGCAACTCGATGTCTGATCGAGTTGTAAAATTTTCAAACCATAGGTATTGGGTTACTATTATTTGAACCTAATCTAACCCAATGAACCCGATACGCTTTTATTTATTGGATTTAATATGATTGATGAATATCTATTAATATATACATTAGACAATTACCCTATCGCGTAGGCTCTTCATATACATATATTTTCAATCTATTCACATCTCTATATAACTCATTCATATATATATTTAGTAACTGTGAACATATATACGTAAATTGAGAAAAATAACTGAACGTGATATACGTAAGAAGTATGGATAAGTTGTATCAAATGGTTGATGATGAAAAGGAAATTATGAGTAGGGAAATAATATATTCAAGGTTAGAAGAATATTTTAATGTACTAAAGTATCAACCCGACCAACCCGATCAATCCATACGGTTTAGGTTGAATTGGGTTACACTTTGGTTTAGATTGGGTTAAGATTTTTCAAATCACAAATCATTAAATCTCTTAAAAAGTTAGCAATAATTAATGTAGTGTCAGCCCATTAACATTTTTTTGGTGGGTTCTTGTCTTGTTTTGGTTTGAATGTAAATCCCCAATAGTTGGTTGCTATTGATGACAAAATTATGTTGCTGTCATTTGGAGCCGTTGCACTTTGTGGGCCCCTTTACAGGACTTTGGGAAAAGCAAAACCTTTTATAATTTGAAAGATATGTAATTCAAAATTAACCAATCATTTTTTTTGTTTTCTATTAAGTCATATATGAATAAATTGTTTGTATGGATTAATTTGTTTGTATAAATTAAGAACTTTCTTGTTTGAGAAGGTTTTTTTTCATAGATGGTAAAAACATGTTTCTTTTAATTAGAAGCGACAGATTTTGGAAAAAAAAACTTGATTTTCTACATAAAACTCATATAAAAGTTCACTAAATAAGACACTTTCTATATCGTTCAACAACTACAAACTGTCATGTATAACTAACCGAATAAGTTGTGAGTCCTATGAAACTTTTTTTTTGATTAACCTGGATATCTAACCCGCTATGCGAGCCGACAAATTTCAGAACGACCACTTGCTTTGCAGATAATCCGGAGTCAACGCATTTGAACCTCCATGGCCACAAGGGGATTTTTATTTCTTCTTGGATTTGAACCTAAGACCTCCTGGTACTTTTGACTTTTAGAGTCAAACTCAAACCAATCAGGCACCATCCTTGTGTTTAGTTCTATGACACTTATTAAAGTACTAACAAACATAACTTCTATAAAAGGTCATTTAAATAAATAGTTTGTGTCGACTGTGGAAATTAAATTTTGAGCAAATATTTTGAACGGTTAAGAGGGCAACAACACGATAAAGACGGGGAAGGGGTGGTGGTGGTGGGGACTGAAAGAACCCGTGGATGGACGAGTCATGTTTTAAAATATTACTGATATACTGAAAATTAATTATTGATCAGATAAAAGTGTAATTAGTTTTTATTTAATGATTAAATTAGAATAAAGAAAATAGTGATTTTATTTTGTTATTTTCTAATATCATTTTGGTCTTATTTTGTGTAAATGATTTTCATAATATATATTTATGAAATTGACCAGGGGGTGGAAATGTACAATAAGCAAAATAGAGGGGCTTGTTAGATAAAATGACAGGTAGTTATTCCTGTTAAAGATTATAAAAAGGGGGAATCTTGGTATATTCTACGATTGAATTGGGGAAAGAAATTGCTCCTTGGTGTAAAGTGGTACGAACCCTAGATTCCTTTTGGAAGGAAATCGGAGAAATTGAAGTTCTGAAGTCATGGCGTCCCGTCGTCGTATGCTTCTCAAAGTCATAATCCTTGGCGACAGCGGGTTTATATCTTTAATTCCTTCAATTTGCATACTAATAACTGATGATACTGATTTGAGGTCAATTAAGCTGTTTATTGGTGTTCTTTGATTGATTACAGGGTTGGAAAGACATCTCTCATGAATCAGTATCCTTCATTTCTTGATCTTTCTGTTACTTATCACTTTATACTTCGATAGAGTTTGGTTTTTGGTTTATGCCGTTGGCTAACTTTACTCAAATCCTTCTGCTAGACTTTGATTTTGGATGTCAAACGGATTACTTTACAGCTTCCAAAATTTTGAAATGGATGTGACTATGTGAGGATCTTCAGCTTGTTGTCTGCATTGAACATTATAATTGATAGCTCTCTCAGTAACTTCGATGTTAGCTTTGCAAAAGAGACATCAACTTTTGCTTTGAAAAACTACTGTATTTTCCGTGAAAATCAGAGTGTTGGTCTTTTTGGGGGGAGTTGACACTTGACAGTGTTTAAATTGATATGCATATGGTGAATGGTGATCGTGTTGGTGGCCTTAAATGATGTGAATTTAGATATGTTAATAGGAAGTTCAGTAATCAGTACAAAGCTACTATTGGAGCTGATTTCTTAACTAAAGAAGTACAATTTGAGGATAGACTTTTCACATTGCAGGTCTGATTCATTATGACTAAATTTAATACCCTTTTGTTTTTGTCTATTATGGTTGATGATACATCTCATTTCTTAGAAGCATGTTTATGGTGACACTTGATCCTGCTTCATGATAACAGTGCATGTGTAGATTTGGTTTGGGAAGTTATCATACAGATTTATATGTAATGGAGCAACTATTGACATACTAGAGTTGGTATTACATTTAATTTGATTCTTCTTTTCTTGTCACCCATCAAATCTACATTTTTTTTTGGATAACTGTGGGAATCCAAGGCAGCTTAACCCCACTAAGTAATCCCCCAGGCTACCACGGATGGCCTGGAGTAGTTGCAGGTCAACCTCCATGGCCACAAGGGATTTGGCAACACCTAGATTGGAACCCAGGGAAGATGAAATTTTCCTGAGCCTTACCCAGTGCCTAGATTGAAATCTACTTGGCAGTAACATTTCTTAATTTAAGACTTCCATCTATTGAACAATTCTAGAGTGGCTCCGCGTTACAAACAGAAAACTCTCTCTCTCTCTCTCTCTCTCTCATTGCGTCTTCCCATTTTCTTCTGTGTAACTCCTATGATGATGCTTCATGCTTGTGCGTAATAGATCTAATAAGCAATGGTCCACAAGCATGGTTGTCAACTTGTGAACTAAACATATCATAATTTGAGAACTCCTAAATGATGAATCGTCTCATAAGATTCAAGACACAAATGGAAAATATGATGCATGATATAGGCAATTGTTTGACACTTAACAAAGTACATTCCTAAATCATGTATTGATGTGTGTTGCTTGACTTAAATTTCAAATAAATACTAGTTATTACTAACAACAGCATTAGCGCGGACTCTCATTTTCTGCTTGTGGATCACATATGCCAATAATCTTGTACCACTCTTCCTCTCCATGCCAACCAATTATACGACCCCACTGCAACTTTAATACAAAAGAATCTGCTTTCCAATTTATTGGAATACCCCCTGATCTCACTCTTGACGGAACTTTAATGCCTTCATAAATAGTTTTTGGCCAAATGACATCAAGAACCATTCTGTTCACCTCTGCTACCATCGTTTCGTTAATGATGATGAAATTTGAACTCCTGCTGCATGGCCTCTTGACTCACCATCCTACCCTTTTCTTTGTTTCCCAGTAATGCCAAGTTTCGGCACATCTTGGGCTGGAGAATTCTTGTCACTGTCAATGACGCTACCTAGAATATAAATTGTAAAGTAACGTTTTCCACGAATAACATGCAGTATGGAACATTCCCTGAATCCCTCGTGATTTTTTGTCCAAAATCACAAGAAATAGGAAAAAGCTTGGTGTCGCTCCCTGGTGTAGCCCTGTGTCGACCGGGAAATACTCCTTCACACCCATCGCGGTTCTCAAAAAGGTTCTTGCTTCCCTGAACATATCTTGGGACAACTATCATGGGGCCAAATACCCCTAGCCCACTCACAACCTCCTTAAAAAAGACTTGTCATCCCAACCGGAGTGAGGGTTGATACAGTTCTGCCAAAGGCTTCTTGGTTAAGGAAGTTGGTCAGCCTCTGACATACTTTATCTTTTTAGAAGTTAGTACTATCTACACATTGTTTTCTACTTCCGCTAGAGTCCACATTTTAAGTTATCATTTGATAGCTCCTTGGTCAATTATATTGGCTTTCTAGTCCTCCAGTCTCTTTGTTTTAAATTTATTGCTTTATTATGAAAAGTGGTTAGATGCATATATATTTTGAAGGGAATATGTTCTGTGGATTTTGGTTGATTGTTTTCTCCTCTTTTCCAGCAATAAGTTTCTATATATGCTGAAGCCTCTATGTTATATATAAGTCAACTCACCTTGTATTTTATTACAACTGATCTTGGATTTTATTGCATTTACAGATATGGGACACGGCTGGACAGGAAAGATTTCAAAGCCTTGGCGTGGCATTTTATCGTGGTGCAGATTGTTGTGTCCTTGTGCATGACGTCAATGTCATGAAGTCATTTGATAGCCTTAACAATTGGAGGGAGGAGTTTCTGATTCAGGTGACAACCCTCACCGGTGGTCTATTTGTGCACATTCTAGCTCTGTTTTCTGTTAAACCAAAAATGTTTTCTTTATTCAGGCTGGTCCTGCTGATCCAGAAAACTTTCCGTTTGTTGTACTGGGGAACAAGATAGATGTTGATGGGGGCAATAGCCGAGTGGTAAGATGGTCTTCTATCTTCTCAATTTGAGTTCCTCAAGAGTTGACTTTCAATTGACAAATAACAAACAGAAACACTTTTGCGATAATGATGTTTCCTATTTGGGATGTCCCATAAGAATTTAAACATATTTTGTGGAAGTTTCAACTACTTTCTCGCATAGTAGTAATTGCAAAACATGGTGTTGATTCATTTTGCTCTACTAGATTTAGATTTAATTACCAAATGGTTATCTAGGTTATTGGCCTCCCAAAAGGTAAAGGGTTCAAGCCTCGACTAATGTGAGGAGTGTGTGTGAGTTTTGTCGTATATAAATTATTACATATTTCAAAAAGATTCAAAAGATAAAAGCACGGTTCTTTTAAATATAACTAGTCAACTAGTTGTACTTATCTGCGTGCTTATGGGAGGACGAGAGTACCCTTTCCTTTTCTTATGGATTTCTTGTAGGGTTAAACCTAGAGAATGAGAACCAACTTTCTATTAATTTCTAATTCGGTCATGGAAATTTTAAAATTGAATTTTGCAAAAAGTTTCATTTTTAGGGTAATCCGGACCAAGTTTGGTCACCATATTACCCTGAATGAAACTTTTTACAAAAATACAAGTCTTTTCTTAGTGATTTTCAAACTTTGTTGAACAAAATAGAAACTCGAACAAAGTTGGTTATCATTCTTTACGACCAAACCAACCTAGTATATCCCACCCAGAGGTGGGTGTGGGGTCTGAGGAGAGTAAGATGTATGCAGACTTGATTTTTACCCAAAATAGTAGATAGAGGTTGTTTCCATGAAGACCCCCGGCTAGTCTTTTACTACTATACCACAAAAAAATCAATTTTGAACTCGTGGGAAGTTTTGTGTAGTTATCATTTCTTTTTCTGTTGTTTAAAATGCACTCAACTTGACAAATAAACCATTTGCTCGTAGAGCAGAGGGAATGTTGGCCAATCGCGCTTGATTATGTGGGTTCGAGGTGCATGAAACTTATAATACTTCCTTTCTTTCTTCCAGGTGTCGGAGAAGAAAGCAAGAGCATGGTGTGCTTCAAAAGGAAATATTCCTTACTTTGAAACCTCTGCGAAAGAAGGGTTGAATGTTGAAGCTGCTTTCGAGTGCATAGCCAAAAATGCTCTAAAAAACGAACCCGAGGAAGAAATGTAAGTATTCTCCATAAAACACTATTTAATCAATGAGTTTTCTGCAATCTTGAGTAATTGAAAACTCTTATGGAAGCCTCATTTGGCACACGAGCCTCTAAAATAACCAAATTAAACGAACCCAGTAATTCCCACACAGGCATACGGTCTAGTGGTAGGATGTACGCAGACATGTCCTCTGCCCCAAGGGGTAGAGAGGCGGTTTCCGTGACCCCCGGCTTGCAAAACAAAAACAAAAATACAAGGATAGCAGGAACACATGAGAATTGAGAAGTACATATTAAAACAAAACAAGGAAACATAAAGTAGTACCTAAATCAAATAGTCTTATTAACTCTGCTTTCAGACTTTAGGACCACCTCTTATCATTCAGAAGTGAAATAAGTATTCAGACTTCAGCACCTCTTAAAAAACAAACGCCACCTAAAACTAAAAGTACTAACGCAGACATAAAAACTAAGACTGTCATAAAGTAAAAACCAAACCTCATTTAATACTTTTTCCCACTTTTTTGTCGGAAATGAAGCTACGTTCCGGATACCATTGATGTGGCGAATGCACGACAACAGAAATCTTCGGGCTGTGAATGTTAAAAGCTTGTTTCAGTTGGTTGATGTTCATTTCAAGGTATATCGATGCAACTTCTATTTATATTTCAAAGTGTTCATTAATTTCATGAATCATACATACAATTATTTGATTAATTTGGTTTATGTGTAATTTCTTATGAAGTCCTTTTCATAATCTCCTTACGATTCGATACGTAGATCTTCTATGGGTGTTTATAAAATGACCTTCTCCATGTCAATATCATGTCTCGGGTCTCCTTGGCTTTTTCTGGTGGATGTGGTTCGCCCCCACCCGAGTGCGTATTTGCCTTGCGTTTTTGGTTTTTTTGCTTGATCTGGAGGGGTCTCCCCCCTCCTTATCAAAAAATATCATGTGTTTTGGAGGTAGATATAAATGCAGTTGCATTCATATTAAACCTGAAGATAATATACGGTTACGGCTTGTTAATCGATTTCAGGTGCTGCTCGGTTGTTTTTCTATTAAGTATCATATGTGTTACGTTGTCTGTATGAATTAAGCTAAATTGTTGTTTGGTTCTTGTGTTGAGGAAACCATCTAAGACTTTGAATGACATAAATGACTATTTTACCCCTCGCTCTATATTAAACACTAACACGGAATCAACCACCTATTTAGCCATTAAGCCACAACCGAATAACCATATATGGCTTACCGAATAAACCATGCATCCCGTTCAACCGTTAAACCGCTTTCGAACAACCACACACCTTTATGAATCCTTGTGGGGATTCATCTTAATATCGGGGTTCATACGGTAATGCTGAGTCAATTATTGAACTTAGAGTTAGATATGTGCATGGTTCGGTTTAGCCGGTTTAGGTCGTAAAATGTAGGTCAAAGTGCCAAACCAATAAGCTTAGTTTCACCTTTTTACAAACCGAGCCAACGGGGACCATTTACCCAACACTTACCTGGTAAGGATTTACTGTTAATGATCAATATTTTTACTCAACATACCGGGTAAGATTTTAATCCACTAAAATGATATTGTATATAACATTTTCATCTGGAAAGCGTTTACCGGGTAAGAGTCGTCACTCTCACTTACGGGGTAAGATTCATTGCTATTGTCAGATAAGATTCTCAATCCTTGTCATGTTAATCCGATAAGATAAACCGACCCAGTAAGTACTCACCAGATAGGCGTTTACCTTTAAATTAATGAATTTAGCTAGACATCATTTTATAAGGAACATATCTATATCTATACTATATTATAAAACATTTGACAAAAACTCTTAAAAATCAGTTTTTATGCACGAAGTACTGTTTATTGATCATATTACTTAAAATTTATGATTACAAGTAATTTGTGCATAAGTACAACTTATTAAAGCTCCATATTTGAATTCGTGTAACTAATTGYAGATAAACATAATCAAATATTAGATAAACATCTCATTTTAAATGTAAAAAAATTAAAATATAATCAGGATAATTATTGAGTTATAACAGAATAATTTAGTTATTATCTTTATAAAAAATTATATTATTAAATCTAAATTAAATTTCTTTGTTACTAAACCTAAATTAAATTATAATTAAAAAATTGAATTAAAAAAATTACACCAAAACACAAGAACTTTTAAAAATGTTAATTTGATACTAATATCGATATATATTTTTTCAAAATTTTATAATATTTTCAAAATTTATATTTTATTCAAAAAATAAAAACATTATCATTTTTTCAAAACCACATAAAATCGTATTATATCGACATAAAAAATGAATAAAACGAAATATTGAAATCAAAATATATCTCAATGCATTACACGAACACTCTTCTAATAATTCTAAAAAAAGTTATGAAAAAACAACTTAAAAATTCTTGATCATCAAAACATTGTATTAAAAAAAGTAAAAAGGGGCATATGAGTTTCTCAATTGTGTATTTTAATAAAATTATTTGTCAATGATAATATTAATTATTTAATTTTATTTCATATCCGTCTAAAATAAATAAAAAATAAAATGATTTTAATAAGAGATCTAAAAGCGTTTGACAAAAATCGATCATAATCAGAATAATTGTATTTTGAAAAAGTTTGTAAGAAATTAATTAAAAAAACAATTATTAAAATAAATAAAACTTTATTATAATAATTGTTTGAAAGCATTAAACACCCCTTCGGAATTCGGATGTCCGAAAGTATCAATAGGTGGTTGAAGAATGTGATTGTCGGTGAGAGAATTTTTTTTTTTCGAGTGGAATATTTATATTATGTTATAAAATATTTGATAAAAATCTTAAAAATTATTTTTTATACTTAAAATTCAAGATTACAAGTAAATTATGTGTAAGTATAACTTATTAAAGTTTCATATTTGAATTTGTATAATTAACTGCAGATAAACATGATAAAATTCAGGATAAACATCTCATTTTAAATATAAAAAATCTAAAATATAATTGCAATAATCATTGAGTTATAATAAAATCGTTATCTTTATAAAAATTATATTGTTAAGTCAAAATAAATTACTTCATTATTAGATCTAAATTAAATTATAATAAAAAATTGAATTAAAAAAATAAGAATTTTTAAATAGTTGATTTGATATTAATATCGATATATTTTTTAAATTTTTTATGATATCTTCAAATTTATTTTTATTCAAAAGTAAAAACATTATTTTTCTCAAAACCACATAAACCATATTATATCAACATAAACAAAATATAATGAAACATTAAAATGAAAATGTATCTCGTTGCATTGTACGAGTATCCTTCTAATTTTAAAAAATAGGTGAAATAAAAATACTTGAATTGGTAAATTACTGAATTATTTATGATATTTTATATATTAAACTTTGAAATCTTATACAATTTTTTTTAAGGATGAACTAAATTCACTTGTTACTTAATATATAATTTAACTTGATTATGACATAAAAAGATACTATATAACATTACCTTTATTTTTATCCGTTTATCTTACTTTCATCCCATTTAATAATGTTTAATTTTATTAATGGACCGTTTACCAAACACTTATCCTAGTGAATGCTTACCGACAAAATTCAACATTATCACTTGCTTATCGGGTAAGATTTTAATCCACCAAAATGATATTAAATGCAACAATTTACTCGACAAACGCTAACCATAATAAAAGTCACCACTTTCACTTACCAGGTAAGACTCTCGGTACTTGTCTTTACTCTTATCAAGTAAAAAATTTGGTACTTACCATATTCATCCGGTAAAATAATGTTATTTGATAACATTTACCCGAGTAAGTATTTGGTAAACGAATCTTAATCTGTTTGCATATCAAATACACCAACAAAAAAAAAAAAACTTTTACTACTTTCAAAAATGATTAAAATGACTTTCTTTACATCAAAATAATGTTTTCTCAAAGTATTTTTAGAAACACCTGACATATGCATCTCTTTCTTATAAAAACAATTTATTGACTTATTTCATATCACATCGGTAATAAGCATTTTTGAGTGTTTTGGATAAACAATTTATACAAGTGTCAAACCGGTATTAAAGAGTTTTTGAAGAAATTAAACCATTATAACTTATAATAAGTTGATAAAGACTTTTGTAGAAAACATAAGTTGTTTCAATAAACAATCTCATACACCCTCTTAATTACCATGAGTTAGCTTATTTTTTTTAGTATATTAAAAAATACCCATAATGGTTTGACATAAGCTTTAAGAGTGATGACAAATGCCAAAAGTCTTACCCAGTAAGTGAAAATGACGACTCATACATTTATCAGATAAAAACATTGCATACGAATATACTATGTCGTTTTAAAAGATTAAAATCTTATCCATTAAATTAAATGAGATTGTTAAATTTTATCAATAAGTACTTACCAGATAAGTAATATTCAGTAAACGTTTACCTGGTAAGCGTTTAATAATCAGTTCCTTATTTATCATTTTAATTATAAAAAAATATTACTCGATATCATAAACGAAAAGTACGTATTTTTGTAGATATAACTTTGGAAAAAGAACCTTGAACTGATTAAAACCATTTGCGCCCACAGTGGCTAAAAGCTCAGCTCAGATCCATCTTCATACAAAACCCTCACTCCTTCCCTGTTCTCAAATCCACCTGCAAACATTTCTCCAAACAAAAATGTCTCATGATCATTCCGATTCCGTCTTCGCCAACATCACCCGAGCACCTGAAGATCCTATCTTAGGGGTATCTATTCCCTCTTTCTTTCTTGATTTTCAATTTGAATGTATTTGCATCTATATCGATCCATCCATCCATCGTTCATCAAACTGGAATCGGGATATTGGTGATCAAATTCATATCATTTACTGATCAACAACTAGATTTAGATTTCGAGTTTTTATTGAAAATTTGTTGTCAGTGATCAAGTTCTTCACGTAAACATGGTTTTAGGTTTTTCAATCTTGTGAAGGTGATGATAGTTTGGGAAATATACTGATCATCCACTATTTCCAGATTGGGTATTTAGGGTTTTACGGTTTTTATCATAATCATCCATGATAGGGCCATCTGGTTTTTGTTTTCTTGTATAAAATACTCAAGTTTTTGTCTTCAATGATGGGACAAAAAACAGGTTACTGTTGCTTACAACAAAGATTCAGACCCATCAAAATTGAATTTGGGTGTAGGTGCTTATCGAACTGAGGTAATTTGTTTGACTAATATTGTTTATCAATTTAATTATGATTTTCAGAATTTAAATAATTATTTAAGTTTAAATTATTGTTGGGTTGATTGGCATTGATAGGAAGGAAAACCTCTGGTTCTGAATGTAGTAAGACAAGCAGAGCAAAAGCTTGTGAATGATCCGTTAAGTGACTAAATTTTATGATTTAATTTTAATTCCTGTTTCTTGATCTTCAATGTTATAATCTCAAACTTTTATGTGATATAGGTCAAGGGTTAAGGAGTATCTTCCCATTGTTGGACTTGCAGATTTCAATAAATGTAGTGCCAAACTCATTTTTGGTGCTGATAGGTAACAGTTTTCTCATCTTGGTTGTGTTAAAAGATAGTCAATATCTTGTATGGTAAGGGGCTGTTTGGTTGGTTTTTCATTAGGTCTTGTATGGATAAGGTTGTCAGTGGTTGGTTTTCGATTAAGTCCTGTATGGATAAAGTTGTTTGTGTAGACAGATTGTGTGGATTAATCTGTCGGTATAGATTGAGAAGGTTTTTGTTTGGGAGGTTTTTTTCACATACGGAAAAAGCGTGATTTTTAATTGGGAGGAGCAGTTTTGGAAAAACTTGGCTTCCTGCATAAAGCTCCCCCTAGAAGCTTACTAAATAAGTCACTTTCTATATCATTAAGCCACTACCAAACTGTCATGGATAGCTGACCGATTTAGCTATGAGTCTCGTTAAGCTGCTAACAAACAAACCTTAAGTTAAATATGTATTGCATGATTGATTGGGAGTTAGAGATGCACAAAAAGCCCAAAGCCTAGAATCTTGGTTGGGCCAAGTTCTTCTTAGAATCCCGAAAAATCCCGATCTGAAAAGCCCAATTAGGCTTACATTTAACTTAAAGTCCGGATGGGGCTGAAAAAGCCCTAGCTGGTTTTTTTCTTAAAGAAAATGGGATTGGAAGGCCTGGGCCCAGACCCAAAAAGCCCGGGCCTTTTGCATCTACCAAGCATGCTTAGGTGGTCAGATCCCCAAGTATGTGATAGTAATACGGCATCGTTTTATTGACGTTGCAATGTATCCTATGTTCTTGAAACTAGGGCATAAAAATGTTAAGAGAAACCTTGAGACTTTATTCCCAATTTTTCGTTGGGAATCATAAATTTTAGCCATAATGGTTGAGATTATACAAGCTGGAGTTCAGTTCAATGATAAGGTTCTAAAGTTCCCAGCCATATGTAAAAACTTGTTGCAACTTGTTGACTTATGATCCCACGAAACACTAATGCACTGGATCCCATCAGAAGTCCGAAGATGGACACGCTTAGGCAAGAGTAGTCCCCAGATGTTCTTTCTGTGCACCTCCTTATGTTTTTAAATGGGATGATTATAAATGAACCCTCCTTCTACTTGCTATTTTGGACACCCACCCTGTTAATTTCCTTCACATACATCAACATCAAATGTGTTTTTTCTTTTTACATTTTCAAAGCTTCGATGTGACCCAAAGCTGGTCCAAACAGCAACACCCGAATCAGTATTCACTTTGTAGATTAGTGGGTTAAGAAGAACGTACCTTTGAATTGCACACACAATGGTGAAACACCGTTTGACTAATTACTGTATTGCCCTTGGAACTTTGGGAGAATTTTCAGCTCAAGTTTCCCCCTTCTCCATCTATTCTTGCAATATTTTAGAAAATGACCATCTGGCTGCAAAAGTCACAACGTAACTGGAGGTGCTAGTACTTCAAAGCTATCATTTGTCATTCTTAATCTGTATTTGTTTGTGATATTATATCGATAGAAGAAACTTCAAATGAGAACCATAATTATTTTGAGAACATGAAAACCAACTAATCAACTATTTCATGTATTATTTATGATGAATGACCCTGAGTAATCATATTATATCATGCATTTTTATCATGAATATTTATCACAACATTCATCATGAATAATAGTTGGTTCTCAGGTTCTCATAATATTTACGGGTCTCATTTGAACATCCCCCTTCTTTCAATAAGCCAATTAGCTAATTGATTTCTTATTGATAATAATAGCCCTGCCATTCAAGAGAACAGAGTTGCTACTGTGCAATGCTTATCTGGTACCGGCTCATTGAGGGTTGGTGGAGAGTTTCTTGCAAAGCATTATCATGAAGTAAGCAAGTAACTTTATTTAAATTTCTTATTCATTCCCTCCATTTTCATTTGCAAAATAATAGTGAGATTTATTATGGAAGTTCTAGTTGATCTTATCTGAGCCCGAGACCCTACCTCTGTGTGGGATATACTGATCAATCACCATGTTTTTATCAGCGAACGGTATACATTCCACAACCAACATGGGGTAACCATCCAAAAATCTTTACGTTAGCAGGATTGTCAGTGAAGTCATACCGCTACTATGATCCCGCAACACGTGGGCTTGACTTCCAAGGTACAAGAAAGATAGTAGTGTTCGTTATGGGTATTTAACTCCGAGAAGAAAACTTTTGGGCATTCAAGATAGGCAAAGACTTTTTTTCGTATCTAGTGTGGCAAAGACTTTCTTTTTCTCGATCAACGTAACAAAGACTTATTTTTCTCGGTCAACGTAACAAAGTTTCAAAATTTCCTATTTTTTACTCATTTTGATGAGTAACCTGCGGATTTTGTAATGTTTGATGACATGGATGTCAAGTTTATCATCCACTTTGCCGAACCCTTCCGTAAACGGGTATCCTCATCATCAAATGTTACAAGATCAACAGGGTACCTGTCAAAATGGCTGTAAAATAGGAAATTTTGAAACTTTGTTACACCGATTGAGAAAAAAAATTTGTTACACTAAATAAAAAAACTTTGATGCATTTTACCTTTCGGGATATTAAATTGATGTTATTTATGAACGTGCGAATAGGACTTCTGGAAGATCTTGGTAATGCTCCATCGGGAGCAATTGTCCTCCTTCATGCATGTGCTCACAATCCCACAGGCGTTGATCCGACCATCGAGCAGTGGGAGCAGATCAGACAGTTAATGAGATCAAAAGCATTGTTACCTTTTTTCGACAGTGCATATCAGGTAAAATAGACGACTGAATTTTGGCTCTTTTGAATGTTCATGTTACTAAAAAGGGCCTTTGGCCTAGCGGTACCTTGTAATCCAACCTTCTTTTAGGTCAACTGGTCAAGGGCTCAAGTCTCACCAGAGGCGGGAAGTGTGTGTGAGTTTAATTTGCCATATATAAAGGTTATATTTATATACTTCGCCATTGGGCGTGTAGCTCAGTTGGCAAACGGGCAGAGAGACTCTGCTCAAATACACAGCGGGTTCAAGTTCGAATCCTGCGGGAGACGGGCTTGAACCCCTCCACTAGGGTCAGCCACTTGAGTCAGTTCTGAAATGCCTCCTAACATGTGGTTCCTAGGGGGCGGGTTCCATGTGGGGCCGGTCAGGGTTGTCGGTACTCAACCTTTTGCTCAAAGATTATTTACTTCGGAAAAGGAATTCTGTGCAACCAGTAATCTATATTTTCTTTAACTCAAAAGGCACAGATTTCACTTAGAATTTCTTTTTTTTTTAGGGTTTTGCCAGTGGCAGCCTCGATGCAGATGCACAGCCTGTTCGCATGTTCGTTGCAGATGGTGGTGAATGCTTTGCAGCTCAAAGTTACGCGAAAAATATGGGACTCTATGGGGAACGTGTTGGAGCCCTTAGCATTGTGAGTTCCGTTTAATTCTGTTTTGCTTTCGTAGTAATTTGAGTTTTATTCAATAATAAAAGTAGAAACCGCGTTAGCATGTTAGAGCGTCTCCAACAGTTTTCTTAATAATTTCTTCAATTTGGAGAAGGAAAAATAAAAAATCTACAAAAAAAAAGTTATTTCTAACTCACTTTCTTCCTTTTGGAGATTCCGGCATTATTATATTATTAAAATATTCAATACAGTTAATACCCACCAAATTAATTTTCAGCATTTAATTGGTGGGAACAATAAAAAAGATATTTCTCTCTCTACCAGCATTTAATTTTGGTGGGTTCTCCAAGTTTGCAGATTTTTACCCTCGCTCTCCTACTTTCTCCGTTTTGAAGAAATTTTGGAGGATAAATTGGAGGAAAAAAAAGGATAAAAACTCCAAAATCTCCATTTTCTTCATTTTGGAGAAGCTGTTGGAGTCTCTTAGCCACACTAAAACTACTTCAATTTGTTGGAGTTTATTTTAACAAAAGGGAATTAATCTAATACTAATGGCATATTATAATATATATATATATATATGTGTGTGTGTGTGTGTGTGTATAGACACCCAAAAATTTGTACGACCTTACAAACCAATTTTCATGTGTTGTTTCACATATGAAACAACATGTGTGAAAATAAAGTGTGTTTCTACAATGTTGTTTCAAATGTGAAATGTTTAGCAGTCCTAAACCTCTCACATATGAAACAACACTGAACAAACACTGCATTTTAGATGTTATGAAGAAACATATGAAAACTGTTTTGTAAGTTTGTACAAATTATCGAGTTCGTAAGAGAATGGGACTCTAAATATATGGAATAACCTCACTCGATGAAGTTACTTTTGGTTGCAGAAAACTAATTACTTATTTCTTAACTGAAAATGAGCATATTTCTTCAGCTCCATAATCCTTCCATGATATTATTATGTCTGATAGAAGCCAATTTAACAGGTTTGCAAAACAGCCGATGTTGCAAGCAGGGTAGAGAGCCAACTTAAACTTGTTATTAGGCCAATGTATTCCAATCCACCTCTTCACGGGGCATCTATTGTTGCAACTATACTCAAGGACAGGTACCCGTCACTCTTGAAAACCTACAAAGATTTCCATCTCGTATTATCAACTATCTTTATTAGGGTCGTAATTGCTGAACTCGTTAGAACTTGATATATGTTTTCTATAGTAATTTGTACAATGAGTGGACGGTTGAGCTGAAAGCAATGGCTGATCGGATCATCAGCATGCGAAAGCAGTTATTGGAGGCCCTACAAGCAAAAGGTAAGGCTCTTGTAACAAAAAGAGGGCAAATTGCATGAAAATGCAGCGTACGATACTCTGATTCCTATTTTATGTAATTTAGTTTCATAACCTTTATTTTGGTACCTTAGATGTGATTTCTATAATTTTTAGACCAAAGTATGTTACACAATAGAGGAATCAGACCAAAGTATGTTGTATTTACATGCATTTTGTGATGAAACCAGGTACCTAAATGTTTGAGATTTCATATCTGAGGTACCAAAATGAAGGTTTTGAAAGTACCATATATAACATAGGAATTGGATCAAAGTATTTTGCATTTTCATGCAATTTGCTGTACAAAGTAGTGACTGATAGTATTATGAGGCTAAACTTGTTCCTGGTTTTAACTTGTGGCAGGAACACCTGGTGATTGGACTCACATTATAAAGCAAATTGGAATGTTCACATTCACTGGACTAAATGCTGAACAAGTTGCTTTCATGACGAAAGAATATCACATCTACATGACTTCTGATGGGTAAGCATATATGATATAAGAGGCATGTTCATTTGAGAAACATGGGAACCAAATATTCATAATGAATATCACAATATTTGATTTCTCAGCTCACAAAGTATTTACGGTTCCTAAATGAATTTTCCTCTTATATAAATCTTTCAACCCATGTATGGTTATATAACTTCATAACTTTCAAATGAAGTTATATATAAGGTCAGGTTTAGGGGAAAACTGCAAAAAAATGAAAACTGAGGAACACCCTAGTAACCATTCATCTGGACGATATGCACATATGCTTACAAATAATTTGTAGGCAATTTATCTGGCATGCACATGTGCATAAAAACCAAGAAACAACTTTAGTTACTTGTATGCACATGTGCATGCCGTCAGATGAATGGTTCCTAGGGTATTCCTCAGTTTTTCATTTTTTGGAGGTTTTGTGCTGAACCTCCCTATATATATATGTATATATATACATATATATCAGTGTTTATCCAACCATTTCTGTCATCTTTTATGCAGGAGAATCAGCATGGCTGGTCTCAGTTCAAAGACTATCCCTCATCTTGCTGATGCTATGCATGCTGCTGTTACCAGTATGGCTTAAACCAACTCTACTTGTTTGCCTTTCTCGTTTCGCACCATATCTTGTAGAAACTTTAAACAAATTTCTTTTCGGGTTTGAAGTTCAAGCCACTTTTTTAAGGCTTTACACATTTCTTTAAGCCGACATGCTTACAACCTAATGTGAAACTTGATTCACATTACATAAAAGAAGTTCACTTTGTTTGCTTAGTTTCTCTATGAATTGTTTCAATTTTGACTACACAAATATAATATTCATATTAAGCAAAAGGTTTGGAGACTTAAAGAGAAACCAAATGGTGTACAATGATTCATTAGGAAGAATAGTTTCTAGTCCTTTGGAAGGGTTGGAATATATTTACATTTAATGGGCAATGTTCGTTCTACTAATCCTAGTTTTAGTCTCTCTTAATGGCGGACCGTTGGGCTTCTTAATCCATAAGCTTCTAGCTTCTCCATATATGAATTCTTGGTTCTAGATATAATCTTGGCTGATTTGCTATGATACTTCTCATTTTCCGTGTCTTCTGATTTAGGAGAGATGCTTTTTGTTGTCTCTGTTCCTTCTTGATCGACACTCCACCCCATAAAATCTGATAGTGTCCTAGATGTAGGTGATCCTGTAGGCGTGTGACCTGGACTCTGAGCGGTTGTTGGATCAATAAATGCACCCAAGGATACCCGTGATGATGTTGTCCTCTTGTTTGCCGGCAATGATGGATCTTGTGCCATATTGTCGGCATATAGTACGTCCTCGATGCGGTTCATCACTGTGTTTGCCAAACTCTCCAACACACGTGAATAGCTCTCTAGGATGGCATGACCGATATCCTACATAGATCCAAAATTTGGAAGCTAAGTTTACCTTTTAAGTGACTGAACAAGAAAACAACAAGGGAATATGAAAATTTATTTCTTGTTCATACTTAATGGTACTCTAAAACCAAAGCAAATGGACCCCGTAAATCCTACTCGAAAGCAGGGTTGGGAGAATGAGATGTACGTAGACCTGATCTCTACCCCAAAGAGTAGAGCATTTGATCTTGTGAAGACCCCAACTTGTGCAAAAGTGTGAGCAAGCAAGTAGCAGGTATATACTTTATTGTACTCTATTTTGCTAATCTCTAGCGAGGATTGAGGAAGTCCAGGGAATTGTTGTTTCAAGAGGAGTAAAATGGTTTCTACTCGATCTTCGAAGAGTTCTCTTTTCTCCAAGCGTACAGATGAACTCCAAGAAGATTTCGAGTCCTTTTGATGCATCTTTCTCTTCCATATAACTATAGAAGCTTCGATTTTGTTCTTGAGATCAAGCACGTTTAGCTCCGATGAGAGATCCATGGTTGATAGAAATTGCATTGGGTCAAAGGAATCGACTGTAATGCTCTTGTAGATTGAATCTCCAAGGCTTTCTCTACCGTTCTGTCGAGTATAGAAAATTAGAACCGTCAGTAGGTGTCCTAAGATGTTATCAACGAGAACATAGATCTCGCTTGGAAAAGAAGGGTAAGAGCTCATTTAAGCCGTTCTTTCACCGTTCGTAATTGTAGTGGAAATTAGAATCAAACAAGTTTCTACCCCTCTGTTCCACACGAGAATTCTGTTCTTATTGATCTCATTTTAGGGGTTGTTTAGTTGGTTTTCCATCAAGTCCTATATGGATAAAGATGTCTGTTTGCACTAATGTCTATATAAATCGAGAAGGTTTTTGTTTGTAGAAGTTCTTTTATAGATGAAAGGAACATGTTCTTTAATTGGGAGGGACATGTTTGGAAAAAACTTGCTTTCTGCAAAAAAAGCTCTTCCCTAGAAGCTTACTGAATAAACCACTTTCTATATCATTAAACCACTATCAAACAGCCATATATAGCTTGCCGAATAAGCTGTGAGTCCCATTAAGCTGCTAAGAAACAAGCCCTTAGTTGCTCTGGGATTATACTTGTTGCGTATCTAGTTGTACCCGTAAGAATTTTTCAACTTTACCTTGGGAAGATTATCAATGTAGTTTTCGGGGATCTCTATTTCTGCAAGAATTTCGGCGTTGATGGCCATGGAAGCTTTCAGAACTTGGTTGACACAGTCCTTTTGATATTGCATCCATTTTCTTGATTCTTCGGAGAGCCCTTCTGGAGGAACCTTCACCGTAGGTAGCCACCATTTGTCGCTTCTCTGAACACCTTTCTCGGATTCATCTGCATCTTTAGACACATACCAGAATTGTTTCTGATCCCTGAAATTGTCTAGACAACCCTGGATCATATAATCATATGATCATCTCGATTATCCAAAAAAAAGCCGAAAAACTGTCAAAAATGACATGGGAATTGAATCATTACAATGAGCATCGCATCTAGCTTCTTTAGAGCGGGGATGTTGATGCGCAAATCTCCTCTTTGTTGTGTCGTCATAACCTGCAAGATAGGAAACCGTATAATTATAATATTTTGAGGACGGTGAAGTGAAAGTTTGAGGAACATAAAATAGGAATGATAAAATGTAAAGATAGATGTGTATTTGATGTTTTAGAAGAGAATTAAGTTTTATTTATTAGGTTATATTGGTAAAATATAGGTCTGTTCCACCTTGTTCCATGGGGGTGGAGGAACATAAAAGTCTTGTCAAACATGGAACAACGATCTCTGTTCTGTCAAGTGTACCAAACACACCCTCATAAATCTAGTTTTCTATCCATATGGGACGTGTTGCTACAGATTAGAACACCCGTACCTCCATATTTGATCCATCTTTTGCCGTTTGTTGAGAGGGGGTGAAATCAACAATGCAATCAGTCACGGCTAGGAGCCAACTGACTTCTCGCCTCCATCTCTTTTTCCTATCTTCCGGCATTGGAGCCAGTTTATGTTGCTCCCCGAACACAGAAGCTATAAATTTCAGAAAGAAATATGAATAAAAAATCCCTAAATTAAACAACTTCTTAGATGACGAAAAAGAAGATTACCCGCCAGATTTGTAATGGCATTTGATAAAGCCAAAGCAGACGAAACCCCTTTCCCGCCACCCGACATATCTTCTCCTAAAAGCAGCTTTGCATACCTTTCCTTCATCTGCTCCAACTCTGCGGAAAAGACATCAAGAATCCGTTTTCACCGAACTTTTGGTGGATTATAACATGATATTATCAAAAACTTCTGTTTTCTGGCAAATACCCACACAGATTCCTCATATTTGGTGAGGTTTGAATCTTTGACCTTCAGATACTGCTTGGCCAACGACCCTTTTTGGTTGAAATTCTCAAAAACTTGTTTTTTCCCAGAGTATATAATATTTATATCTGACATGCCCACACAGATTTCTCACATTTGATGAGTTTTGAACCCTTGACCTTTAGGGAGGCTAGGATTTACCTGACCCGTTGGGTTGAAATTTATAAAAAACTTACCGGCGTGTTTCTCTTTAATCTTGGAAACCCGATCATCGATGTTATCTTGTTCGTCCATTGTTGTCGTTCCTTCCGCTTTAACAACTTGCGAAATCTTGCTGATTGATTGATTCTTATGGTTTCTGGAATTGCAATAGAGAATTGCAGGAGGCCATGATTTCAATTGTCAGAAAGTTCTTGAGAAAATGGAGGAAAATGAAAACCCAAATTTGTTGGAAATTTATGAAAAGTTGGTAGATAAAAATTTGTTTGTTTGAGCTTTTGAACGTGGGGTGCATGTTCTTTTTAGAGTAGTTTACATTTTTGGTCCTTATGGTTGTCACCAGTATCAAGTCTGGTGTCTATTTTAAATTAATTACAGTTTTGGTCATTGTGGTTGCTGCTTTCTTTCGGATTTGGTTCTTTTGACCGACTTCCGTTAGAAAAAAGTCAACTAACTCAAGGGCCTTTAGCTCGTTTTACATCTTTTGTCTATTTCAATTTTGTACACTGAAAAGGTCATTTTAGTGTTTAACTATCGAATACCGGTTTATCAATTTTGTCGTGCCAGTTTCTTTGATTGCTTTGCATGTTGTGATTGTGTACAAAAGTGAAAAATATATGAGGTCTCATGTTCAAATTCAAGGAGGAATAAAAATCCTTTTGTGGCCACGGAGGTTCAAATGCGGTGACTCCGAGCTATCTGCAAAACAGATGGTCGCCCTGAGATTAGTCGGCTTGCATAGCGGGTTGGATATTCAGGTTAATAAAAAAAGTGAAAAATACGTAAAGGCCCTTGAGTTTGACTGATTTTTTTAACAGAAGTTGGTCAAAGGAATCAAATCTGAAAGAAAGTGGCAACCGATCAAAGTTGTAATCAATTTAAAATAAGGACTAGAATTGATACATAATGTCAACTATAAGGACCAAAATTGTAATTTACTATTTTTTTTTATATAAAACAATGGATATAATCTGAAATTAGAGGGGCTTAAATCCAACAAAATGTGAAATTAGAGGGGCTTAAATTTTACAGCAGGAAGTTTGATACCTTTGGGGTTCTAATGAAACAACACATATTGGAATGGGAGACCATTGTATCGTAGGGCAAGAGATCGGCGACATACGGTTCGTCCTCGTTCATCGAGGAATGGACGAGGAACAACCTCTTCAGCGTTCGGAGGTTTTTTCTGGGAGACGAACAGTAAACTTGGAAAACTGGTACAGATAAGAAGGATCTGACTATTTAACTGAAACAAATCATTGTGACGATTCCTACAGATGCTAACGTGATATGATTTCAATCAAGTACAAGTAAACGGCTGGAGTAACTATGACTATGACTTTTTTTAGGTAACCAAATGTCTCGTCATCTAATTAATGACGCACAAGAACTGATTTGGGATTCCTAACATCCTTGTCTAAACTGATCAGACTAGACCGCTTTATTGTGGTCCGGTTTGACAGGTTTGGTTAGTTGCTGCCAAACCGCTTGGTTTGGATAATTTTATAAATCGTTGTTGCGGTTAGGTTTGTGGTTTGAGGGGTTAAACCGTCTAAAACGGACCTTGACAAGTTTTATTTTGTACTGTCCCGCGTACCAAACCCTTGTGACGTAAAGACTACGATGAGCTTATTGTGTTGGTTCATCTAAGATGGTTGTGATTTATGAGCATCGTGATAGAGACATTGAACTCGTTTTATAACTACTTGATGTTTTCACGACTAACGTTACGATTCAAATACTTTATAATATAACTAGAATAGTACTTGTGCAATGCAGCGAGACACATCTCGATTTTAATGTTATACTTTATTATTTGTCTATGTCGATGTTAGAATACGATTTTATGTGTTTTTAAGAAAACAATAATGATTTTATTTTTGAATAAAATATAAATTTGAAGATATCATATAAATTTTTAAAAAATATATATCAATATTAATATCAAATCAACTATTTAAAAGTTCTCATCTTTTATGAATTACTTTAATTTATTTTTTATTATAATTTAATTTAAGTTTAATAACGAAATAATTTGTTTTAGGTTTAATAATATAACGTTTTATAAATATAATAATTAGGTATTCTGTTAGAACTCAATTATTATTCTAATTATATTTTAAAATTTTTATATTTAAAATGTTATGTTTATCTTGTATTTGATTATGTTTATCTACAGTTAGTTATACGAATTCAGATATGGAGCTTTAATAAGTTGTACTTACGCACAATCTACTTGCAATATTTAGTTTTAAGTAATATGTATTAATAAACAGTACTTTACACATAAAAAAAATGGTTTTTAGAGTTTTTGTCAAATACTTTATAATATAAATATCAGTTAAAAATTATAGTAAAATACATCATATAAGGATTTCACTAAGAATCCATTGATATACAAGAAATAAAAGCTTCACCACATCTTTAAAATACAATTTATAATTTGCTTTTTGGAGAAAAAGAAATCCATCGAGAACAAAAAGGGATTGATCAATGAATTATTCCTCCTTTTGCTTTTTATTCCCTTTCTTTCTTAAAAATTAGTATCTGAATTAAGAAACTCAGGGGGCATTTGGTTCACATAATGATTTATGAAGGAATAAAATCTGTCAAAAAAAATTAGAATATAATGAAATTCAAATGAAACTGAATCAAATTTGACCATGTATTTTGTTTCATTTTATTTTTTTGGTCTCTATCGATGTTATAATATGAATTTATGTGGTTTTAAGGAAGCAATAATGTTTTTCTTAATAAAATATAAATTTGATGATATCATAAAAATTAAAAAAATATATAAAAGTTCTCTTTTTTTGTGTAATTTCTTTAATTCAATTTTCTTATTATAATTTAATTTAGATTTAATGATGAAGTAATTTATTTTTTGTTTAATATAAAGATAATAACTAAGTATTCTGTTAAAACTCAATAATTATCCTAATTATATTTCAGATTTTATATTTAAAATAAGAATTTTATTCTGTATTTGATTATATTTGTCTACAGTTAATTACACGAATTTAAACATGGAGCTTAATAAGTTGTACTTACGCACAATTTACTTGTGATCTTGAATTTTAAGTAATATGCATCAATAAACAGCACTCCATATATAAAAATTGGTTTTTAAAAGTTTTTGTCAAATACTTTATGATATAATATAGATATGTTGTAACTATTTTCTTACATTATAAAAACCAGTATTACTAAAAAGATTTATCGTTAAATAATTTATTATTTACGAGTAGTTGTGTCTTTTTATAATATCGTGGAGTGGAATAAAAGTCAATTCCAAACGAAAAACACAATGAAAGAAATAAAGACTCGAGTCAAAGAAATTATCGTTCCAATTATTCCGTTAAATCCTGCAAAAAAAAAAAACGCTGAGTGAACGATTACACCAACTCGTCTTGGAAGGAAAAAGAAACCGACGATCGAGTTTTATGGTTAGGGTTGAAACACCACTCGAAACCATGACTGACGGGTTCTTTCTGAAATCCGTTAGAATTAACTCATTAAAACAGTCAAATTAATTCTAATCCCTCGGTTAATTTGTCCAGTTATCTTGACAAATTTATAAACGGAATTCTGTTATATCAACTTCCTCCGACAACAACACGTCTTTTTCACAAAAGACGTTTCGTTGTACTTTTCAAAACTCGATTCCAACCCAGGTTTTCGCTAACCAAGTTGGAATTCCAATCGAAGACGTCAACCGATCAAATCGGATCGGGTTTTTTTTTTATATATATTTTAAATGTGGGACTATAAATAATAATAAATAAAAATAATCCAATTTCTTAAATGATTTGGTGAGCCAACTGCGTGTGGGGCCTACATAAAAGGGTCAAAGCATAGATTTTGAATAACGTCGGTGATTTGGCGCCTTTATCATTAACGGGGTGGAGTATCCAAATGAAAGTTCTAATTTTTAATGGGCCAATTGGGCCCATTTGGACGGTGTGGGGCCCACAATAAATATTTCACTTTTTTTATCATCTAACCCAAATACAAATAATTAATTACTGCCCATGGCCCATATCATAATTTGAAATTATTCAAGATATAGAATAAGAACACCTTTTCAAATTATCTGAGTTTCATTAGGATACAACCTTTGAATTGTTAAGAGTTGAATCTTGTTTGGTAAAAAATGTCTCTTAATGGTTTTAAAACTTTTTAAATGATTTTGTATCTTGGGTCTCCCTTAAGCATTCAGCATCCTAATTTTACTTTTAAGAATTACCAAACAATTATATTTCATTTTGTATTATATCGTAATAGTCTTTTAATCATTCTGCACCAAACCATTCAGCAACTGCCGAAATAGCCCCAATGACAATTTCTTTAATTTAATAGAATCTTTTTAAGGGATCTGGATTTTGTGAAATGATTTATGATTTGAAGTATTTGGAATCCTTAGTGCCTTTGGGTTATCGAAACTGGAATGAAATTATATTATGTTATTTATAAATAATTTATAAAATTAATTATTATAAAACAAGTGTTTTTAACATATTTTAGAACATTATTACAAACAAATTTTATGAAATTCCACAAAAGACCACAATTTTAGTTTCGGATTTTTCTTTAAACCAGATGCAGGATTAGAATGAAATCCAAATCCAACAAAGCAAAACGGACTCTAAAAGTAAGGGGCCGTTTACCAAACAATTACCTGGTAAGAGCTTAACGATTAAATTTAACACTATCATTTACTTATCGGCTAAGATTTTAGTCTATCAAAACGGTATCGTATGTAACAATTTACTCAGTAGGCACTTACCGTGGTAAGAGTCGTCGCCCTCACTTACCGGTAAGGCTCTTGGTTCTTCTCTCGCTCTTATCGGATAAGATTCTTGGTTCTTATCATATTCATCTGATATGGTGATGTGGCTTGATGTTCACTTACCTGAGTAAGCGTTTAGTAAACGACTCCTAACATTCTTTTCCACAACAGTAGTATTCAGATACCCGTTCCTTTCTGTAAATTTACATAAAAGGATATAACAAACGTATACTGGTTTGTAACATAAAATACATTTTAAGCTTGTTTGTCTACTCTTATTCTCAAAACTTGTTTTAGTTTACCAGTTTATGTACGATTATACATAATTAGAGACCTCCATAAATACCCATTAAACCATAGTCACAAGTAATGTCTTCCATACCCAGTATTAATTGACAGTAAATTTATTATACTTCGACCAGTTATAATTACAGTATTTACAAATACTGAGTTGTTTAAACTATAAATATCTGATATCATTTAATTCTATTAAAGAAAAGGGTGTTCAAAATTCAAAAATTTATGTCCCAAAAAAACATGTTAATTAATAAAAGCAAGAATTTTGAAATTGATGTGTAACAAACATTTATAGCTCCACCCCAATTACTAAATTTAGACCAACAACACTTCTTGTGACCCCATTAAATTTTAAACATAACTTTTTGGAGTAAATTACGATTTTGGTCCCTAACGTTCGTAATTTTTAAGGGATGTCATCTTTAAATTTGAAAAACGTGGATTTGGTCTCTAACGTTTATTGATTCGTAATGGTTTGGTTTATCTGTCTAACGATTGTTAACTTTTATTTTTAAATCCAATTAAATGAAGGGTATTTTAATCACTTTTTCTTTTTTTTTTGTTAAGCTGGATATTCAACCCGCGATGCGAGTTGACTAATCCCAGGGCAACCATCTTCCTTGCTGATAGCCCGGAGTCATCGCATTTGAACCTCCGTGGCCACAAGGGGATTTTTATTACTCATTGGATTTGAAAATKACTAATAAGAGACAACCTCTGAATCATTGTTTACTTCTTAATAGTTTTATAAAGAGACAGTCTCTGAATCGTTAAAAGGTGAATCTTGTTTGGCAAAAAAAGAGTATGTCTCTTAATGGTTCTAAAACTTTCTGAATGATTTTGTATCAGTGTCTTCCTTAACCATTCAACGCTCTAATTCTATTCCAAACAATTTCCAAACAATTATATTTCATTTTGTACTATATTATGAGAGTCTCTTAATCATTCTGTATCAAACCATTCAACAACTGTCAAACAACCACTAAATACCCCTTATTTAACTAAATTCAACGGAAGATGTCAATGACCTTAGACAGAAGGACCGAAACTGCTGGGAACTGATAAACGTGAGGGACTAAATCCGAGTTTCTTAAGAAGAATATCAGTTGAAAATGGTAAAAATGATCAGGGACCAAAATTGAACTTTACTTTTTTCTTTTATAGTTTTTTTATTTTGAAAATAAATTTTATAGAATTATAATATTTAATATTTGAGTGAATAAATATAGAATTTAAAAGGATATGAATTTGAAAAAATGATGGGAAGAGATTGATTGATGTATAAATATTAAATGCATGCATGCATATGAGTGTTGTACCTTCTCAATATTCAAAGTTGGAGGTATCTTTAATATATCAGAGGTCCCACCTCTACCTCTTACACTATATGCTATATTATTTGAATCTTACTTTCATATTTATGTATCTATAAAATGGAATAAATAACTATACTTTTTTATTTTAATTAACAAATATTTATACATTTATGATATTATATAAGGGTTGGGTTCACATGAAACCAACTTGTTTACACTTGAAACTTTACAACAAAACGTTATGAAAGAAAAAAAAAAGTTGAATTTTCACATCAAAAACACTGTGAAGTTTCAAGTGTAAAAATGTTGTTTCACGTGTCTCATGAAAACAATTTTGTCTCATATGATTCCAAGTCTCTCTCTCTCTCTCTCTCTCTCTCTCTATATATATATATATATATATATATAAGGTTGGGCTCCTGTGAGACCAGACTGATTTCGTGAGACATGTAAGACTACTTTTTTGCACTTGAAATTTCACAGAAAAACACTGTAAAAGTAAAACAAAATTGAACCTTCACTGCAAAAACACTGTGAAGGTTACCTTCACAGTGTTTTTCAATGAAGTTTCAAGTGTAAAAAAAATGGTCTCGCAAGTCTCACGAAAACACGCTGGTCTCACGTGATCCCAAATATATATAGACTTGGGATCATGTGAGACCAAGAGTTTTTCGTGAGACCCATAAGACCAATTCTCAATCCCTAGATTAGATCTACAATCTGAACATTCATAATCACAAAATTGCTACATATATATAGATTTGGGATCATGTGAGACCAAGGGTTTTTCGTGAGACCCGTAAGACCAATTTTCAACATCTACAATCTGAACATTCATAATCACAAAATTGCCACGAGACTTCTCAATAATCACAAAATTGTCACCGTGCAAACTTTAGACCATTAGATCATTAATTTATAAAGTCGATCAATGAACATAAATTGATCTTACAGGTCTTATAAAAAACCTTTGATCCCACGTGAACCCAACCCTATATATATATATATATATATATATATATATATCAAATTTGACACATTTGATACCTATTTTTATAGTTGTAAGCAAATCCAACAAAAACCAACGGTTAAGAAAATGGACTTGTTCGTGCTCGTTGATGCTCGTTTGTTAAGATGACAAATGAACGTAAACAAAAAATTGTGGATGAATGAAATTAAATGAATGCATATAAAAGAATATGAATAATTCAATACATAAAAAGAGAGTTTATGTCAGCTATAATATTTAATCTCAATTTAATACAAAGTTTAAATCCAAGAAGAAATAAAAATCCCCTTGTGGCCATGAAGGTTCAAATGCGGTGACTTCGAGTATATCTGTAAAGCAGGTGGTCGTCCTGAGATTAGTCGGTTCACATAGCGGGTTGGATATTCAGGCTAATAAAAAAAATTAATCTCAGTTTAATGCAAGTCAATCACAATTGGATGCAATTTTGTGGATGTATAATTGTGTTTTTAGGGTTTTTTTTAGATAATTAAGGTTGTTAATTATGTTTAAATAACTCATAAACTTTTAAAAATCCATAATTAATTATGCTAATTTTGGAGGGCCTCATAAGTCATAATCACATGCCATGGAGCCAAAGGCTAATGATTTTATCACATGAAAATTTGATTTTATTAAAATAAATTAAAAATTAAATAATCCGCGCTTAAATAGAAAAAAAAAACGTAATTCCGAATAAACTTTTATGTTGTTTAGACGTCTTTAAGACTTGTGTTTATATACTGAGTTGGATACCACATCACTCGTCACATCAGCATGATAACCGGTTAATTGAGTACTTAAATGTTTAAAACTTTACATCTTAGATACCAAAATGAATGTTTTGGGAATACGTTACCCAAAATAAGAATAAAGTTAAAGTACGTTACTTTTTCACACAATTTGCCCTAATTTGTAATTTACATTCATATATGAATCTTCAAATAGATTTTTTTCCAGATTTTTCAATAAATCATATGATAAACTTTTTTTTACATTTTCACAATATTTAACCTTATTATTTAAATAAACTCCTGTAAAAAGTTCAATCAAATATGATTTTATCGCTAATAAAACTTTGATTTTTAAGATCCTTAAAAGGTCATGATTTTTTTTTATTAACTTAACTATCCAATCCGTTATGCAAGTCGATTAATCTTATGACAACCATCTGTTTTGCAGATAGCCCAGAGACACTATATTTGAACCTCCGTGACCACAAGAGGGTTTTTATTTCTTATTGGATTTGAACTTGGGACATCCTATTACTTTTGACTTTTGGAGTCAAGCTCAAACAAATCAAGCACCATCCTTGTGGTTAAAAAAATGTCATGAGTTTCGAGTCATCTATCGGGGATTTTCAAGGTTGTTCTTTAGGACTTCTGAAATTAGTCGAAATGAGCACAAACTGATCTGAACAACCATGATTAACAGATAAAATGGTTTTATCCATTTTCATAACTTTGATTTAATACCAAGAAGAATATAACAACAAAAGGTATAATTTTCTTGGGATACCCATGAAAAATAAGGGCTCTGAAATCATGATGATACCCATGAAAACATTGATCACAGATTTCCTTAAACTTCAATTATTGCTCACCATCTCTTTTAACAATTCATATTATCTGCAAAACAAAAGTAATCACACAAACTCTCCCTTTCCTTCCTTCCTTCCTTCCTTCATCTCGCCATTAAAACCTTCATCAAGATTTCTTGCTTCACCTGCAAACTTCATCTGTTCATCCATGGCGAAACACCATCATCATCATCATCTGAAATCATCCACTTTCTAGTCTCGATATCATGAACTCAACCTTCGAACCCCATTGAAGACCCATTTCCATCACCATCTTCTTCAATCTTGAAATCTTTGTTTGGTGGATTACTACTGTGTGTTTATGTGTGTGTGTGTTTTTTTCTTGTTTTCTTATCGTTTTCATGGTGGGAAAAGGGGAAAAACAATCGTATTTAACAAGAGAAAGTCAAGATTCACTTGCCCTTTTGTTCTTCTCGTGTGGATCTGGGCTGCTCTCTTTTCGTTTTCCCACTACCTAACTTAACAGATTCCATGTGAGAAACTTAATTTGGTGTCAATTAATGCCATCATTTCACTCTATTTTTCATCTGGGTGTTCCTTTTTATCCATTTTTTCTGCACATTTGAAGATAGAATCATCTGGGTGTTTCTTTTTAGCCATCTTTTTCTAGATATTTGAAGATAAAACCATCTGGGTGTTTCTTTTTACCCATTTTTTCTAGAAATTTGAAGATAAAACCATCTGGGTGTTTCTTTTTAGCCATTTTTTTCTAGAAATTTGAAGATAGAATCATCTGGGTGTTTCTTTTTATCCATTTTTTCTAGAAATTTGCAGATAGAATCATCTGGGTATTGGTCAATGGTGATTCTTGCTGTCTGCTAGCAATTGAACACTCAAACAGGTACTCATTTTACTTCAAGAATTTAACCTAAATTTGCTTACATCTTTCTTCTTGGCTTCATCTTTAGATCTGTCTCTATGTGTAGAGAGATATTTGCATTCTTTAATGGCGGCCAATTGATGATTATTGATCGTATTCAGTTTGCTTTTGTCTTGACTGCCATGAAGCCGGACAAATTCTCTGAATTTTGTCTTTTTTTGTTAGAAAATGAGCAACAAATGTACCCCAAATGGGGATTTTTCTTAATAGTTTAGAAAGTTTCTGACTTTTTCAATCTATATTTTGGGTGTGAATAGAATATGCCTCAAGGAAGCCTGAGATCAGTTGTGTACAGATCATTTGTCACTTGTGAAGATCCTAGAGGTGTAATTGAAGGAAAGACGATTAGAATATCGAAAGCCGATACTACAAAAATGGGTTCTCGAGGATACGAAACGCAGTCGAAGAATCCGAAAGAAAAGGAGAAGATGTCATTTTGTAAAACACCATCTTCCTATCAGCTTGTTGAAGTAAACAATGGAGCTCAAAAGCTCAACCAAGCTATCGATTCTTGGTCTAAAGGGGCTAGTTTCAGAGGTCAGCCGAAAGACATCGCGAAAGATTTGCTAAAAGGGGCTCTCAATCTTCAAGAATCTCTCGTTATGCTCGGCAAGTTGCAAGAAGCTTCGTGTATGGCTAGTTCGAAGAAAAAACAGCCTGAGAAACCAGAAGTTGTTGGCGGAATTGGTTCGGATCGGTTTGAAAGTTTTCGAAATCACGATACGGGTTTTCGAAATCAAAGAGATGTAGAAAATGGGTCATCAAGAGATTGTTATGCTGAATTGAGGGAAGTGATTAGAGGTGGGCTTTCAAGACAAAATCTTTTGCCAAAACATGAAGAAGGTAACAGTAAATTGCAATTGTCTCCTGATATAGCTTCAACGAGCTCAAGTCGATCTTCATCGATGGTGTATTCTACTCATGAATTCACTTCTTCCGAGTCTTTTTCATCGCGGGCTACGGAGGAAAGGTCGAAAGGATCAAACTTGATTGCAAAACTTATGGGATTAGAAGAGCTCCCTTCGAAAATGGTTCCTTCTAGTCCCGGAAAACGGTTAGATAGTAGCAAGACGAAGCCACTTTTCGATATCGACTTGCCAAATGCGAAGAAACCGCAGCCTTTCGGTCAAAAATTGGATCGAGAACAGATGTCGTTAGATAAAATCATCGAATTGATGCAATCTAAAGGACTTCTGAGAAGCAAGAATCGTGAAATCAAACCAACCAGCGATTCATATTCAGAGAAAAGATTCAGAGATGATGTACCGCCGATTGTTTTGATGAAACCCCAACGTTTAGGTCCCGATAAAGCTGTGAATAATCAGAAATCTAAAGCGAATGTGAATCCCATCAGAAAGCTTCATCTAGAAAAAGCAAAAGCCGAAGAAAAAGCCGTCAAGATTAGCGGGAAATTGGCTTCTAATAAGCAGAAAGCTTCTGTTTCGGTTATGAGAAAACCAGAAAGAAAGCAAGAAACGGAGAAGAAGATAGACAAGATTCAAAAGATGGCACCGCCACCGGTTAGGAGAAAACCAGTAATAAACTCGGTTTCTAGAAGCAGTTCTTTGAAGCAAGCGAAAAGTGGTCTCCAGAATCCCGTCTCAAAACGAACATCATCTCCAGGTTTATCGAATAATTCTAGTAACCGAAAGAAGAACTCGAAGATTGCAAAGGCGGTAAACGAGCACTTGCCCACGACTGTGAGTTCTCTCGAGTTTTAGATACGAGAAATGAGATGATGAAAGTAGAATTTGATCCTAATTTGATACATGTTATTGCAGATTCATGAAGTTTTGCAGATTGATTCAACTAATGTGAAAGAACCCGAGAACGGAGATTCTGAAGTTACGATCAAAGGTAAAAGACGTATCTAAATATTTTGAAAACCATGAAAACGAGTGATTCATGAATCATTTATGAAAAAACATATCTAAATATTCATTATGAATATCATATTATTTTCATTATTCATTATGAATATCTTGTATTAAATGTCATGTATTTTCATTAATTATTCATGATATTCACTTGGAATATTTATCAAGATATTCATTATGAATAATTCATTAATAGTTGGTTCTCACGGTTTTCAAATGAACATGCCCCTATAACTGTAATGCTTCATTTTGCTAACAAGAGATTAATTTTTCCGATGTTCTTGCTTCACTAAATTCACGGTTTGATCTCCCGTCTGTACAGAAATCGACAATGCGAGACAGAAATCCATCTGTGAAGCTCCCGAAGAAGATTCCCATCACGTTAACAATTCCGTTACGGTCATGGATCATCCCGAAACTAGAAACAATCGCGAAAAAAGTAGCGTTCCCGATATCCAGGAATGGAAAACTAGAATCTTGCAAAACATAACCCGTTTTCAAGATTCCGAACCGGCCAGTTTCGAGCTTTTCCACGACTGTGTAAACGAGTTTTTCGACCAAGAAAACCGACGGCATTCGAACCCATTCCATCAGACCTCCGTCATAAAATCAAGAATCTGCGTTTCTGCGGACCAGTTGACGAGGGAGATTGTGAACGGAGTCGAAAACTTAAGAAACTACAGTAAGATTTCGAACGAGAATCCTGAACGGGATACGGTTTCGGGATTGTTAGAAAGAGATCTATCTTGGAGTTCAATGGGAGGGGTATGGAATACTGGTTGGAAAGATGGTTGTACTCTAGATGAAGTTGAAGAAGTTGTGTTAGATTTGGAGAAGATTCTTTTGAGCAAATTACTAGATGATATGCTTATGGAACTTTCTAGAAACTAGATTTCTTGTTTTGGACTGTAATTCTAGTAGATATATAGAAGTTATGTAGATAAATCTAGAGTTGAAATCATGGTATAACTTGTAATTTATTCGGTAAACGTTGTACATCGTGTTCTAATATCTCAAAAATCTCGGAAAAATTTGATGACGTCGTTGTTCTAGCTTGGGTTGGCGATGGAGTTTTAACGTACAGTACAAAAAAATGGGTTTTATAGGACACTAAATATGTCTAAATGTGAGAATAAGATGTTTTATAGGACTTGAGTTTACAGTTACGGGTGCTCAAAAACCCGACCAATCCAACGCGAAAATAACCCAACCCGAAGCAACCCGATGTCTAATCGAGTTGTAAAATTATCAAACCGTAGGTATTGGGTTGATATTAGGTTACTATTATTTGAACCCAACCCAACCCGATGAACCCGGTATCCTTTTATTTCTTGGATTTAATATGATTGTTGAATTTCTATTGATATATACATTAGACAATTACACTATCATGTATGCTTTTCATAACACATATTTTCAATCTATTCATATCTCTATATAACTCATTCATATATATGTTGAGTAACTGTGAACATATATATATATATATATATATAAATTGAGAAAATTAACTGAATTCATATATGTAAGAAATATGGATAAGTTGTATCAAATGATTGATGATGAAAAAGAAATTATGAGTAGAGAAATAACATATTCAAGGTGTACGAGTTGGGTTAGGTTGTACTTTGGTTTGGATTGGGTTGGGTTAAGATTTTTCCAAACCGCAAGTATTGGATTGGGTGGTTCAAATGTTTTCATATGAACATATCTTTTTATACGACAGTTGTTTTTATAGAACGTTTTTTTCTCCAAATAATGTCATAAAAAGACTAATATATGTTTTCTTTCAAAATTGTTCAAAAAACCTTGTTATCGCCTCCAAAAGCATCATATCAACTTATTGTAGCACATTTACATAAGTTGTCTATTTGGTCCTATAAAATAGTCTATTAGGATATTTAGACATATTTGATATTTTATACAACCGTTTTTATTGTACTGACATAAAGTACAATCACAAGATGCCTAAAACAAAACATGTAGCCTCCGTTGGAGGGGGTGCCTTAGAGTCCCATATTGGTTAGACTTAACTATCTCTTTTGAAGAGTAATCTAGTGGGGTCCACATATTCTTCATGGTATCAGAGCCAAAGTCTACTATCTAAGACATCTTTGCTCGAGACTCGATACTCATGGCATCTTTGCCCATCTAGCCTCCGTTGGAGGGGACATGTTAATTAGAGTGCTATATAGGTTAGACTTGACCATCTCGTTTGAAGAGTAATCTAGTGGGATTTCACATATTCTAACATGGTATCAGAGCCAAGGCCCACTGAAGAGGCGTATTAGAGTCTCACATCAACTAGACTGAACACATTCTCTTCGATAGACCTTGGAAACCCCTTCTCTTTCTTCTTATCGGCTCTTTTAGTGGGGTTTCACATATCCCGAGATCGAACATGACAACAACATATAAGAAAGAAGAAAAGAAAGGTACCTTCTTGATGTGGGCAACAATGGAGAATCCATGGCATGAACCTTCATCTTCAATGGCATATGGGTATCCTTCACATATGCCTTCCCTTCCAACATAATGAGTTTCTTGATTATAGCCTTAAAAATCAAGATTCTTGATTTGCATTTATATATATATATATATATATATATATATATATATATATATATGAGTAAATATTGATTGGAAAATAGGGACCATAAGCATCACTTTCATCGTTTACCGAACACGAAATTAAGGCGTAGTCGTGTATAGAAAAGGTCGATTGGTATTGCATTGGTGTGAAAGCACGTTTGTTGTTTTTCTACACATATCGATCTTTTTGTTCTACACGGTTTCTGTCTTTCATCGGGAGAGATACGTAAACCGACGTTAATGCGTGTGGACTTGAGTAAGGATAATACTATTAAACTTAATTTATTTTAAAAAAATGTAAGTAAAGGGCCTTTGGCCTAGCAGTATTGTAACTTTTGGCTTTCTAAAAGGTCAGAGGTTCAAACCTCACCAAAGATAAAAAAGGTGTGTGATTTGTTGCATTTGTCGTAAATAAATGTTATATACTTCAAAAAAAAAGTTGGTTTTATAAAGTTCAAATTTGTATGTATATAATTATAAGTTGTAATAGTTGTGCAAGATAATAAAAATATTGGATTAATATATTTGCATATGAATATATTCGTGATTGAAAGTTTAAACTTGATTCTTATTTTTGGTAACGTACTTCAAAACTTCAATTTTGGTACCTAAGATGTAAAGTTTTAAACAATCAAGTATTCGGGTAAACGGTTGAAGCATTAACCGGTATCATGTTGATGTAGTGAGTGTCGTAATATCCAACTCGGTATTATTTGCTGACGTGGTTAGTGACATAATTTTTTTTTATCTAAAATTAGTCTTCAACCGGTTATCCGGATACTTAAATGTTTACAACTTTACATATTAGATATCAAAATGGAAGTTTTCAAAATATATTATCTAAAATAAGAATTAAGTTAAAGTACGTTACTTTTTCATGTAATTTTTCAAAAAAATTAATATAAGTGTCGGAAAACTTTCCAAATTTTCATTCTTATTGTCCGCAAAAGGGTAATATGGAAATGTTATAAAAACGGAAAATTTTATGACACTTTATTTTATGATGCAAATGAGAAAAAAAATTGTTGAAGGGCCAAACATAAAATTTGATGGTTAGTTAAAGGACCATTAATGTAGTTTTACTTTTATTTATCGAAGTAAATTACTTTTTGAGTCCCTATAGTTTGTTAAATATTTCAATTTTTGTCTCAATAGTTTAAAATTTTCAATTTTCGCCCCTATGATTTGTAATACATTGTTATTTCCGTCCTTAAAGATTACAATTTATTGTTGTTTCATTTTATGGTTTATAATTCCTTAATATGTTGGTCCCTTTTACTTAAAGATAAGAATTAGTTTATGGACGAAAATAACAATAAATTATAAACCATAGAATGAAAACAGTAATTTCTAAACCATATGGATGAAAATCGAAATTAGTAACAAACCACAAAAAGCCTAATTTACTCTACTAAGGGGGTGTTTGGGATTGCTTATTTTAGGTGTTTTTTGACTTATTTCAGTCTGACACTGGTGATAAGCTAAATGCTAGTGTTTGGATGAGGAAAAATAAAACTGCTTATACCGGTGCCAAACTAGTAATAAGCAATTTTTGATAAGTTAATTTTTCTTGACTTATGAAAAACTGTTTATTATCAGTTTACCATTTTACCTTGTTTTATTAAACCCCTTTTTGGTTATAAAAATATTACATTATAAATGACGATCTAATATTATTTTGCTGTACAGATATATTATTTTTGTCTTAAATTATTAATGGTATTGGTATAAATGTTTGTCAAAAATATTATTATAAATGATAAGAAAATAAATTTTTACATGTTAAAAAATCAAATAAGTTAATAAACAATCTCAAACACTCTCATAAGTCAATGATATGGAAGACTGTCATTATTTGTCATTTTACATATATAAGCAAAATTTGTCAAAAACTAAAAAAACAACTTATCAACTTATTACTTTTTGGTATCGCTATAAGCTAATCCAAACACTTTTTACAAAACTCCGGTTTGATACCCTATAAGTTAATAAACACTTTTTACAAAAGAAAATAAGTTGTTTATTTTAAATAAGCAATCCCAAACAACCCCCTAAGGGTGCGTTTGGTGCGCAGACAGGACTTGACAGGACATGACAGGATAGACAGCTGTTCAGCGTTTGGTAAGACAGGACAGGACAGGATAGAACTGGTTAAAATGACCAATTTACCCCCAGTGAGCTGTTTAGTGTTTTTTCACTAYGAAATGCATTHTGGTAACACTGGTCCTACTACCACTACAGCCCTAATAATTCAACAACAACAACAACATTCAGCAATCATAATCAATGTAAACTCTCGAAATAAATC